TATCTACAGTATAGGTACCTGTGGATGATCCTAAGAGACCAAGTCTGAAGAGACAGTCCCAGGCAGAGTAGGCCTTATATTTATACCTCTGTGGTGGAACCTGCTAGAACATCTTGCTTACTCAGCCTAGTCAGGTGATCAGGTCATATGACCAAGGATGAGGTCATATGAGGTCATGCACAGCCATGCACAGCAGGTCACCTGACCATCCAATCCTTCCAGCAGGTTCCAGCACATGCCAAGGTATACCAGCTACTTCCATGTCATAAAGGCTTAGTCATGTCTCTTGACCAACCAATGAGCTGGTGCCCTGACAGGATCCCTGTCAGGTGTCCAAGTAGTCCACTGAAGAGCTTGCCAGAGGATGGGAATGTGCCCTGGTGGGAGCCTGAGTGAATCGGAGAGGAAAGCTGTGACTGTGTTTGGTATCACAGCTGGGGGAGTGTTGAGGTGTTTGATGCCAGGGATTTCTTGCCAGGCGATGCACGTTTGGAGGTGCTGGCAGAGGGTGATGAAGAGGAGGGCTTGCTGGATGGTGAGTCATGACAAGGACTTGTGTGCTGCCAAAAGCTGGCAAATGAGGTCGAGGAGTAACATGGTGGGTGGGGGAGTTGGTATGAGGAGAGGAGGGGAGGGGAGTCAAGGGAGGGAGGAGTCAGCAAGGGGAGTTGAGAGAGGGAGGAGTCAGCAAGGGGCAGTGGATTGGCAGTGAGCTTAGCTGGTTGGATGATGATGAGCGTGACTGGTGCTGTTCATCAGGTATAGTAGATAACCAGTGACAATGTACATAATGTAGGAGTACAATGGAATAATATTATGTCAGCTGAGTAAGATATGTACAGTAAGCAAAAAACACTGCCACGTACCCCGTCCAGAGTCCAGAGTCCAGAGTCCAGAGTACTGCCGAGTAATGCTCGGCACAGCCACTTATTAAAAGACCCATCTCGTAAGCTAGCTTTAGTAACTCGTTTAAAAACTGACCATTGCTGTGATGTGAAAATGGTGAAGAATGCATTCCGTTTGAATTCTCTAGATGAATGACGTGGGCACAGCGGTCGGCCAGGGCCTGATGATGTACAGTTTCCTCTTCAAGGGATATTTTTACTGCAAAGCAGTCTTTTATTGACCGAGATGGAATAAAGCACTTCAGTAAAGGATTGGTTGGCCATATATCGATATGTCAGGGATATTGAAGACAATCAGTGCCAGAACAAAAATCCTTGATCATGAGTCTTAGGCCTACCCTCTCAGTTACCCAGCCTGCGCATGTTGAAAACATTCTGCATTTCTCGTCTATCTCATCAGTCCAGTATTGGCCTAACAAGTGGTGGATTGAATTGACCGGCCCGGGAGAGCCAAAAATAGTACCATTCATTTCTTCCCACATGTCAGGCACGACCGGGACGTTGGGAACTGAACCACACCTCTTCAACAATACGTCGTGCCTCCGAGCCCAATTTTCCACAATAACAGATTGTGATTGTCAATGGTCTAACGATGCACTATATCCCAGGTTCCTGTGAACGTGCATCAGAGTTCTTTTCGAGCCACGTTTCACCTTTGTATCATGCCAACGCTTTCCCAGCTCACGTAAGACGTCGTCAAGCAGCGACCGTCAGTCTCAATAACAATATCCTACACCGTTCTGGCCTCTCTCTCATCCCCTACCTCATCCAATCCACGAATCCTGCTCAAAGCAGCAGCAGTCCAGTTCACTCTTTTCCACAAAGTACGCGATGTTCGCACTTACACTCCTTTACACCACACTCCTTTCACTCTTCTCCCTCCCCGCCCTTGGGCATACCTTCACACTCAACAATCAGTGCGTCTACAACGTCCCTCTTTACGTGTACGTCCCGTCTCAGCCGTATTTATCGTCAGAAACTAACAAGAAGCAGCGATTCCTGGCCCGGGAGCGTCGCGTACACCGGGTCGAAGAATCTCAAACTCCAACCGGGGCAGAGTGCACAGGTTGATATACCCCAGGGATGGAACTCGAGGATATGCCATAATTATGATTGTGGGAACTGTTGGGGGCAGGAGAGCATGGTCGAGTTTAACGTACGTCCGCATCTCCGTATGCGCGTTGTGCTGACTGACGTCGGTGTTGGTGTTGGTGGTTGACAGATGGACGTAAACGGTCTAGCATACTACGACATCTCCAACATCGAAGGGTATACCGTCCCGCAAGAGATAGTTCCCAGCTCCGGCGAATGCGAAACCGTGACCTGCACGTCCGCTACTTGCCCGTGCGACCAGGCTTACCCGATAGGAAGTCCGTCTCCTCCTTTCTTTCACTTGAGGTCTAGAGCTGATGAGACGTAGACGAAAAGGGATGCGGTGCGGTGATCGATTTACCTGTCAAGGCGTGTAGCACCCAGGATTTCACGATTGTTTACTGTCCTTGAGAGATTTGCAGAGGTTGATATTGCGCATACCCTGCTTCTCGTTATCTCATTGAGAGGCATTGGATGCCTTGGATGCCGTGCGTCCCCTTTCCGGGTGCGGTGCGCCCATGGCACTCTGTCGTGCAGAGAACATTTGACTTACTTGTTGGTCGTTCGAATAACACATCTCCGTTGTCTTCCCTTTCCAATTTGTGAGCAACTGAACAAGCTTCGAGCTGCGATTCAGGGCAAGTTGTTCAGGATGAACGATCCTCCCCGCGTCGCCTCTTCCTTCACCCGGCTTGACACAATTTCCATTTCCCCCTTACGCCTTCCATTCTTCCGGCGCCCACAATTCCCCTCGGAGCCGCACATTTTCCTGCTAATATCCTGCACCTATCGCATATACCCGAATGGAAGGGGATTTGTGCGGGGAGGCGGGGTGTACGCCGCCGCTGGACCATATCGACCTAGGAGGTTGATACTCGACAACTTAAATTGCGGGCTTTCTAGGCTGGCTGCTGGAGAAGTGCGATAGCGCCATCGTCATCGTCCCAGCACGAACTGGTTAACTGGAGACATCGCTGCTCTTATCTGTGCAGGCGTACAACGACCCGCTCGGTCGTTCTTGGGCGTCTCCGGTCCTGCTATTGGACGCCGCACCAGCTCGCTCACCAGCCCCCATCATGGCATCTCCCCAATTACCCCCAGAGGAGAGCGAGAAAGTAGCCATGGAGGCAGACGACCTCCCTCTGCCAGCCCACGAGATTGTCGACGCACACCAGGAGATCCCCGTGCGCCTTCTTCCAATGCCTGACCCCACTGACACTGACTGGCTCCAGGTACCGAAGCTCATGACTGTCCGGTCTCTGAGCATAATCATCTGCGCCGTTCTCGCTATGATGATGAGTGTGTGCCCCTCCCCTTCTACGTTCCTTTTCAAAGAGCCCACTAACTTCCACCAGAGTTCCTCCATCCAAGCCCTAGTAATTGCTATCCCCTCTATCCAACAATCCCTCTCCATCAACTCCGCCTCCCCCCAGTGGCTAGTAACAGCCTATGCTCTCACCTCCGGTTGCTTTCTGCTCCTCTTCGGCCGGCTCGCCGACATCTTCGGTCGCAAACGTATCTTCCTCGCAGGCACAATCTGGTGGATCGCATTCACCATTGCCTGCGGGTTCGCCAAGTCCGGAGTGGGGATAATCATCCTCCGCGCTCTCTCCGGCATGGGGGGCGCAGCGGTCGTTCCCAGCGCAGTTGGGATCCTAGCACACACCTTTCCCCTGAGCCAGGCCAGAACAGTAGCATTCGCGACGTTCCAAGCCGGCGCCCCGACGGGGGGAGCACTGGGGAGCATAATCGGCGGGTTGACGACGCAATACGCGCCTATAGGCTGGCGGGCGATATTCTTCGTCTCTGCCGGCATTGGGGGAGTCGTGTTTGTCCTAGTCTGGCTGGCATTCCCCAACCATAGGGGACACTATGAAGACAAGAGGGTGGATTGGCTTGGAGCGGCACTGATCACATCGAGCTTGATACTGCTCATGTTCTGCCTCGGGCAGGGGGAGATCGCTCCCCAAGGGTGGAGAACCCCTTGTACGTCGTCCTCCCTCGTCGCATCTTAATGCTCACACAAGGGTAGATATAATCGCCCTCCTCATCCTTGCTGCACTACTATTCGCCGCCTTCGTAGGCTGGGAACATTACGTTGAGACGCGGCTCACCCTACCCCCGCTCATAAGACTCAACATCTTCAAGCGCGGTCAGGGCAAGCTCGCCGCCATCCTCCTCGTCGCATTCCTCATCATGGGTGCCTTCTCGTCCTGGCAATACTGGGCCACCCTCTAGTACGTCCTTGACTTCCCTTGTTAGAGGTATAGGGCTAATGACCGCAGCTATCAAGACTACAAGCAGTTCGCTCCTATTGACACTACGATCCGTTTCATACCGATGCAGATAGTGGGGATATCGATAAACGTCCTCTTCGCCCTCGTAGCGGCCCACGTCTCCGGCTATGTCCTCATCGGTACTTCCCCTCGCTCGACTCAGTTTGATTAACCCGCTCATCCAACCTTGTGTAGTTGTAGGCTGCTGCGGCACGGCGATCGCCTGTCTCCTGTTTGCTATCATCGACCCCAACGATAGCTATTGGGCCTACGGATTCCCAGCGGCGGTGCTGGACGTCTTTGGTGCGGACACGACGATGGGCGGGGGAGCGCTGTTTGTTGCCAAAGTCGCCTTGCTGGAAGAACAGAGTCTTGCGGGGGGAGTGTTCAATACCATTATTACTGTGCGTGTCTCGCTTTCTCCCACTCTGCTCTGCTCTTCGCTTTACTTTTATTCGATTCTCGTCTGTGGGTCGCACGCTGACAATCTGTAGCTGGGCGTGTCTTTTACTACCACCGTGACAACGATAGTGTACGACACCGCGGTGCGGGAAGAGATGAGCAGTATGGGCCTGACACTCAACGCGGACGGGTCGAATGCTTCTCCAGACGCCGCGTTGTTCGGCTACCAGAGAGCCCAATGGGCATGTTTCGGGTTCGCAGCAGGAGGTCAGTCTCTTCCCGCCTCCAAGAGTATGCAAGTCTGATAGGTTCTGACAGCCGCGATGGTCGCCCTCGTTCTCCTGAGAGGCATTGGAGTGATAGGTGTCAAAGCGGTGCAGAACGCTGAGGTGCTCGCCCCTGATACGGCGGGCGAGACGATAGCTGCGAAGCATGAGGAGCACATTGCAGAGCCCGTGGCATCCTTGTGCACGGCGGAGGAAACGAAATCCAGACCTGAGTCGCAGAAGAGTGATCGGACTCGTGTGTAGCTCCTCAGAGGGTAGTAGTTAGTATCCCTTATAATAATTTATTAGATAGTTAAACAGATCTACCGAGTGAGAGGTGCAACGATGATCCAACAGCATCCATTCTACTTCAGTCCTTCAGATCCCCCCAACTCTTCTTGATCATATCCGCACATTTCTCGCCTACCATCACACACGGCGCCTGAAGATGCACGCTCAAAATCTTCGGAAAGATGCTCGCGTCTGCAACTCTCAAGCCCAGCACTCCATGCACGCGCAGCTCGTCGTCCACCACTCCGGGTCCGTCCCCATCCCCTGCTTCAGGGGCCATCCGGCATGTAGAGGAATAATGATACGTCGTCCTCCCCTGCCTTCTCACGAATGCCTTCACTTCTTCCTCGTTCGCGTCCATGGGGAGCACACACTGGTCTTTCAGCGCATATCCCTGGCTCTTCATCTCCCCCGCAAGGGCGAGACTGAGCTTCAAGCCAACGCGGATAACAGCCCAGTCCCTCTCGTCACTCAACACTCCCAGATCGCACGCCGGCCTCTGGCGCGGGTCTGTGCTCGCGAGCCGTACCCGGCCGAAGGAAAAAGGCGTTGCCAGCACGGTGAGGAAAGAGAACCCCCCTTGGCCGGGAGGGGGAGGGACGGAGAGACCAGCAGGGATAGGCATTATCTCCACATCAGGGACGTTCTCTGGGTTGAGCGCGCTTTCCCCTATCAGCTTGGACGCGGTGCACCTCCCGTCTACGGGAGAAATAGTGCTGGATTTGGTAAATATCGAGATTTGGACAATGGGAGCGAGGAAGATGCCGGCGCCGAAAAGGATGTAGTGGAGGATATGGCGGATGGCGTAGAAGGCGTGCTCGAGGGCGTGGAAGGAGTGAGTCAGGGGAGTGAGGTACTGTACCGAGGCGCCGAAATGGTCTTGCTGTATATCATGTTACAGTCCGTAGATGAGGAAGAGGAGGAAAGCGTACCAGGTGCTCCCCCACGCCAGGCAGGTCCTTGACGACCTTTACCCCCTTCTCTTTGAGGAATTCGGCAGGGCCGACGCCGCTCAACTGCAGCAGTTGCGGGCTACCGATTGCCCCTCCGCACAATATGACCTCCCTCCTCGCTCTGACGACAAACCTTCCCTTCTCCTTGGCCCGCTCTTCGTCCTCATCTTCAATCACCAGCCCAACAGCCCGTGGTCCTTGATCCGTGTCCTGGAAGACGATCTTCCGTGCAAGTGTCTCGGTACACACTGCGAACCTGTCCTTCCTCTCCAGCACCAGTTCCGCAGGGACAAACGCGGAATAGGCCGAGCATCTCCGTCCCTTGTCATCCATACTAACATCAACGTCTCCCACACCGTATGGCGCTCGTTGGGGAGCGTTAAGGTCCTTGATAAACGGCAAGCCGACGGATTGCGCTGCAGAAACACAGGGGTTGTATGAAGGCAGGAGATAGTGTCCGTATGCCCGGGTCTGCCACAGGCCCGTTAGGCCGTGTCCAGGGCGGAGGGACATGGGACCTAGCGCACGCTCAGATTTGAGGAAGTAGGGATAGACGTCGTTGAAGGACCATCTTGGAGCAGTCAGTGCTGCTTCGAAGAATAGGAGGAAGGGAAGTGACGCACCCTTTTCTCCCTGCACGGGCCATCGCTTCCCACTCCCCTGCGCCCCTCGTATACAGCATACTGTTGATCCTGCTCGTCCCACCGAGCACTTTCCCACTAACCATCGCCATATCCGCTTTGCCCCCTTTCTTCCCACCCTTCCCTTCGCTTCCCTGGTCGAGCATAGAGCTCTGGGGGAGCCAGCGGTAGTTCGGCGAGTTGGCACGTGCAAAGTTCGTACTGATCAGAGGGACACGGGAGAGGAAGTTGTCCCCCACTGGACCACGTTCGAGGAGGAGGACACGGATTCCAGGGGTTTCAGAGAGGCGGGAAGCGAGGGCGCAGCCTGAGGTTCCACCTGTGCACAGAGGGGGGTCATACACTCGTACTTGGGTAGAGGGAACTGCGTACCTCCTCCGACGATGTAGTCCCACACTCCCTCTGCGTCCTCCTCACCTGGTAAGTCCTGGACGCTGACATCCTCCTCCCTGATCTTGAGAGGCAAGCCGACATCCTCGGGTCGCTGTTCGGGGTAAGGTGCGTCAGAAAGAAAGCGTACGAATGGCAAGTAGAGCCATATCCAGTTAAGCCAGCGCCAGAGCATTGCAAGAAAGAGGGCGTAGGAGGTCGATGCTGCGCGTTGTTCTGCCATTGACAGTAAGTGTACAGTGTCGAGATACAAGTCTAATCTGCCTTGTAATTCTGCTTTGAACTGTGTGTACAACTCGCCATCTGCGGATCAGGCCATACCCGCTTACACCGGCGCTTATTACTAATCATGTTATATATAGAGAAGACATAGTAGTTACATGTATATCTACGTTCAACTTGCTGTGAAGCTTTTCATATTTCGCCTTTCCCTGTGTAGCTCATCCAAACACATCAGTAGAATACCGCTCAATAGATATCTTCTGGAACCTCTCCTCGCTCTTCTCCTCACCCCAGTTCGTGCGCTCCTGGATCATCTGGATACACTTGCCTCTCACTCCCTGTGACATACCCGACATGCCACATGAGAAGAACTTGGCTCCAGCGTCATAGAGTGGGAAGATATCAGTCCGGTCGTTCCATACGCGGCTGTACCGCGTCAGCGCTGAGCAAGCAACAGAAAGAGATAAGATACTCACTCTTGGACATGTTTACATCCCTCGCTCAGCTCGGGATGGCGAGAGAAAGCAGGCCTGACATCCACAGCTCCACACTCGATCCATCCCGCCAGCTCCCTATCCGCATACAAGAAATCTTCTTCCGGTCCCCGGCAGCCCACGAACAGTAAGGCCTTGCCTACCGTTCTCCCAGCAGCAATCTGTTCCGCCCGGTCCTGGATGAACCCCCGCATAGGGGCAAAACCCGAGCCAGCGCAGAACATTACCACTGGCTTGGAGCTGTCCGCAGGAAGGTGGAAGTTGACCGCGCTCGGCCGAACGGCGAGGGCGACGGTATCACCAGGTTTGAGAGCAGCGAGGTAGTTGCTCGCTACGCCTACAAATTCTCCCTCCCCGGCGCGGGACAGCTCACGCAGGACGGAGAAAGTGAGCGTGCAGTGGTCCGGCTTCCAGAGCGGAGATGAGGAGATACTGTACTGCCTGATACGCATGCCCGGGAGGAGCTTTATAAAGTGCCCAAGGGGGACGTTGATACAGGGGAACTTCTCGAGGAGGTCGAGCACCGATAAATGCTTGTCGAATATCTCCACCTTTGCGTTCGCCACAACCTTGTCGAGCGCCGCCCTCTCCTCCCCCTCACGAGGAGCAAACCGCAGCACGTCGTCCAAGTTGCGCTGAGTCATAGGCTGGCTCAGCTCGACATACTCCGAAAACAGCTCTTGCAGGCTGATCGGCTCGTCTGTCGGAAGCGTCGTCGGGCCCTTACTCTTGATCGCGACCTTTGTTTCTGCGAGGAGTTGGAAATGCTTCAACACCCGGCGGACCGTCTCAGGCGGGTTGAGGGGAAGGATAGCGAGGTAGTCCCCAGGGCGGTACGAGATCTCTGGGGGTAAGCGGAATTCCAAGTGCCTCTTCTCCGGGACACCAGGGGCAGTAAGCACCCGGTTCTCGACACATATCCCCTGGCTGAGATAGGGCTGTCTGAGCCGGATCGTCCTCGCCATCCCAGCAACAGTCACAACAAGATCCTCCTCCTCCTCGGTACGGGGCGAGCCAGGCGGGGAAAGCGTGTCAAACGCTTTGCCCAGCACAGGCCAGACAGCTTTTTCCCAAGCGTCAAACTCGCCAAACAGGTCCGCACCGCCTGCGTCCCCCACTCCCCGGGGAGCCAGTCGTTCCCCGCCAAGCTCCTCAAGCCGGGCATCGACCAGCGTCGGGATCCTCTGGAACGTCCGCGCCCAATCATGATTTCCCGCTCCGAAGACGGCGTATTTGACCCCTTTGAGCGGGGCGTTGGCAGGGGAGAGGTCCACCAGCGCTTGCACGAAATGAGCAGCGTTGTCCGCCGGCTGACCTTCGTAGCTCGCACAGAGGACCAGGACGGGCCCGTCCCGCGGGAGCTTGGAGGGGTCTTCGACGCTATCCAGCGTGGCCAGGGTGGCTAAGAAGCCGTGCGCAGAAGCGTCGGAGGCGACTTGCTGGGAGAACCCTTCGCACGAGCCGGTGTTGCTCCCAAAGTAGATGTGGAGCGGTGTGCCCTTCCCCTTCAGGTCAACAGTCGGGATTTGGACGTGCTGTACTGTCGCAGCCTCAGGTTCTGCAGCGGACACTCCGGGGCCAACGACTCTAGCCCCTTGCCGGGGAATAGCGTGGATCTTAAAGTCCTTCGGCTTGGTAGTCAAGGTCTGCTTGATCTGCAAATGATACCCAGGGTCATCGAACCGGATATCAAACCTCTGGAAAAGGGTTGCAAGCATCATGATCGCTTCTTGCCAAGCGAGCGGACGCCCGATACATGCTCGTGCACCGTTTCCAAACGGTTTCCAGCTGTTGGGAGGCAGCTGCTCGAACTTCCCTCCTAGCATCCGTTCGGGCTTGAACTCGTCCGCGTCTTCCCCCCATACTTCGGGATCACGCTGCAAGCCGTTGAGGTCGATAAGTAGGTTCCAACCATGGCGGACTTCGTACTTGCCCCCGAGGACCTCGGTGGGTTGAACGGGAGAGACAGTGATCGCCCCCGCTGGCGGGTTGAGGCGGATCGATTCCCTGAGGACAGCGTTCGCGTACTCGAGCTTGGGGAGATGATGGACATTGATTGCTTCTTTGCCTAGGACGGTGTCCACCTCTTTCTGCAGCGCGGCATATGCGCGGGGATTCGAGAGGAGGTGGTAGAGCGTGAAACTCAAAAGGCCGGAAGTGGTCTCGTGCCCTGCTATGAGGAAGGTGATGAGCTGATTACGGATGTTGGCGTCTGTGAGCGAGCGGCCAGTCTTGCTATCCTGTCCGGAGAGCATGAGGGATAGCAAGTCCTTTTGGCCTTCGGGGAGAGGGTGCTGTTTCCTGTGCGCCACGACTGTGGTCGTCAGTTTAGCCTGTACTCAAGGATGGAAGAGGGGAGAGAGACCTACTCTGGTCACAGACGTCGACCATCAGCTTGATATCGGCTTCGTACTGCCTATTAGTCTCCTTCATCCAGCTCTGGACGACCTTCGGCCTCTGGACCCTCATGCCGCTCTCGACAAGAAACCTCCCCATAGCGCCAATAAAAGGTGGCATCTCCCTCTCGTAAAAACTGTTGAACCGGTAATTCATCACACACAGCGCGACGGTGTCGAATGCCAGACGGGTAAAGTCCTCGGCAGGGTCGAATGGCGTGTCGGGGCCGAAACGTTCCCATTTTAGCAAGAGCTGGGAGTTGAGATCGAGCATCTGGGGGAACATGGAGAGGATTTGTGAGGGTCCGAAGGCGGGCATGAGAATGCGATCTAAATGCATACAATAAGGATGCTGTCTAGACTGGAAAAAGGTGTGCGCACGGGCGATCCCCCAGTTCTCCTCCCCGTCATAAGCGGTAAACAGGCCGTCCCCAGCCCCATTCCTCACGACCTCCAGCACACCCGCCTCGACCTTCTTGTGAAACCTGCTCTCGTCACACAGCTCGTTTACGAGCCGTTGGGAGCTGACGAGCACAATAGTACGGCCGAAGAAGTTGAGTGTGTAGATGGGACCGTATTTTGCGCGTAGGAGGGCGAAGGAGCGCGCGGAGTTGGTGGGATCTACCACACCTGTGCCGGCATGGCCTAGCAGGGGGTAGGCAGGAGGCGAGGGAATAGGCTTGAGGGGCATCGGTGCGATAGTGTAGAGCAGATGTTTGTCAGGTCAAGCGTGGACGTGGTGGTCGAGAGGAAAAGGTGGCTGTCAAGTCCAAGTGAGCCAAGTTAGAGTAGATTGTCAGGTTTCAAGCCCCCGTGAGTCCCTTTTAAACCAGCGCTTGGTTGGCTTAAAATGGCTTCCTCGGCAGGATCTCGCATCTCGCCTCCCACTGTCTTGTGCTCCAACATGGTGGAAGTGGGGTGCCTCGCCGACTGTCGGCCAGCTTAGCCAAGTCCTTCGAGATCAGCTACTAGTACAAGCACCGTCCATGAGCAGAAGAACACGGTCCGTTGCAGTCGGATTCCCAAGTATGCACAAGGTCTGTGGGAAGCCATAGTGTGACGAGACGTGGATCCTTGCTAAGGGTCTGTCAATGGATGAACATTGCACGAATCATATCAACCACCTTGGATGGAAGAACCCGAAGTTCACGTGTGCAATAGCGCACAGCCACTAGATGACGTACTCCGGGTAGGAACTATGTGTCAGCCAGTGACCAAATCATGTGCGTAAGCCGGTTAGTTCGACCAGAATGGCAAAGCGAACCTTTCGGTGCCCGGAAAACTTGCTCTTACGCTCCAAGGTAAGAGTCACAGGAGGTTACATCCACGCGAAGGTTGGAACGCTCAACACACCAAGACACCGCATATGTGAATGACGTCAGTTTGGGTTATCAAGTGGTCCGTGCACCCCAGAACCCTACTTAACCCCCATGCAACACGTCACTTGTCTTGTTCCTCCCTTTCATCCCCTACGTCCTTGGATAGTCTCAGACCGCATGGAGATGCTGTTTTTCTGCCAGGGGAACTTAATGCTTTTTCAACGGACCTCAGTTTTTTTGTGGTTTCTGGCAAGCTTCAACGCGTTCTCCCTCCGTCCCTCATACCTGGTCTCCTACGGCCGCACGGCCGATACCCTCCGTTTCACTGGAGCATCTCGAGGTTGTTCTCCTTAAACAGTCGTGGAGTCCTCTGGTAGTGCGCAAGGGCGTCCTCTCGCTTGCCAGCTCTTCGCACCTCTGGGACGGTTTCCGACCGTCTGGCCAACGTCACCTTCTATATGACGGGAACTACCCCACCCCTCGGAAGGATATCAACCCGTCCTTATGATATCCACGCAGTACTGACGCTGCACTTCCGCAATTCGTCTGTCCCTTGTCTGCCATTCTGTCGGGCAGCAGGGGAGATCCCATCCGTTCTCTTGGTTCACCCTTCATTGGACCCGTACTCATCAGGTCTCTGGCGTCTTCGTTGTTCGGGAATGGTATGCATCCTTCCTAACTCTAGCGAGGACAACCCTGCATCGCGCGGAGCTCCTGAACGTATCGAGGATTTCAGACGACACCAGTATTGGTGGATGTCAATCTTCATCAATATTTATGTCGTTGGGATACTCCACGCGCTCCAGTTCTGTCCCCTCCCGCGCCTCTCATACCTGCCACAGACGGATGCAGTACGTTCGATGCCCTCCATTCAACTGTGTCACCCACTTGACTCTGCGCCCCTTCAGTGCAAGCGCTGGTGTGGACATGTTGCACTGTGCGAGAAATCTTACTGCTTGCCACTCTCTTCTCGCCCATTGTGCCAAAGTGCGAGATCGAAGGACACCATCCTGTATCGAACGGTTCCTAAGCACCTTGTTTACTCGACGCAGTGTCCTTGGGCTCTATGCAATTCCTCCCATGATTGTTTTTAGATGACACGGGCTATCCTTTCGGCGATATTGGTCGAGAACCCCTTCATAACCCCTTCCTCCCTTGGTACGCCGTCGCTGCATATACAGTCTGCAAACTACCCAAACAGCCTCCTCAAGTCAAACACGCTGAACCACCCGCGCTTGATCGCCTGATGCGTCACAAGCCCCAGCAGCCCCAGCTCCAGCACCCAAGCCGCCACCCCCGTCGAGCGCATGATCAAAAACCGTCTATGCATCTCCTTCGTCTCGTTATTCCTCGGGAACGGTCTTTTCGGCACATCCACCCCCAAAAACTTGCACAACGGTTCCCAGCCCTCTTTGACGTTGAACACCAGCAGCTTGTCCTTCGGCACCATGCGCTTGATCCCCTCATTATGCATCTCGTACGTCGCGGGGCCGATCGTGCCATACGTCTTCGTTTCAAAGGAGTGAATGTTCCTCGCCACGAGCCAGAACGCCCACATCGACGGTACGGAAAACAGCACCCACCCGTTCCAGAGCTTGTGAAACTGGTAGATCGTATCGCTGTAGGACTTCCACCAGACCTCGGTATTGTCCCGCACGGTAAGGATCACTTTCGCGTCCGGATAGGCGGCCATCAGCTCGGGCACGAAATCCGCGTTCGGGTGATCGACTGTCGCTCCCCAACCGGACATCAACGACCGCCAGTTGGTTGGCTTGCCTGATGCGCGAGTTTAGATGAACTCAGGGGAGAAGTGTATGCGCTCACCATGGTAGGCCCTGACGAAAGCCATGCAACGACTGACCTTGCCCGGCAACTCAGCCATATGATGGCATGGCCCAAACCCAAGTATCTCCAGTGCTTCCTTCCTACTCAAATTGTTAGCGATCCAGCTCGAGCGTAAACTGCTTTATCGCATACACGGAGAAAGTGCCTGATCGACCAAGTCCTGCGCCGATGACCCTCACCTCCGGCACAGGGTATTTCTGAGTAGCCATGTCGATGGATTGACAAAGGTGCGATAAGAAGGGGAGAAAAGCGGCAGAGCAAGGGAGGCCGCAAGTAATGCCAGACTAAATCCTTTTGCATTGTGTCAGCCTCCCGCTACTCTAAGGGAGCGAAGAAGGATTTGTTGATGGAATACTCGTCTACTTGGTCCGGAAGACTTCCTATCTGAGACCCTGGTTCACATCATGGCCCTCCTGCAACACATGTGCCCCGGTAAACTCCCCGAAACTCCTTTGTTGTTCTGATTGAGGGCTTTGATTGGTATACAGTATCTTGGGCACCCGTTGCTAAATATACCCATTTGTGGGCGTGGGGGGAAAATATCCCACGAGAAACTACAGCGTAAAATATCGTCATCTGCATTCAACTCTATGTGAAGATACCGTGAGATGACAAAAGAAACAATGCGAAGAAGTACGACATAGACCATTTCAGCCAAAGACATCCATGGAATAACGCCGCAGGGCAATGTCTTCAAACGTGGCCTCACTCCTCGCAAGATCGTATGGACCAGACTCGGCTATTATCTCCACGCACTTGCGGCGGACAGCAGTCGTCATGGCTGTTCCTCCACAACAGTAAAACCTCGCGTCTTCATTGAACAATAGTTCCTGGATGTTCTCACCGTCTTACCATACCCGAATGAATGAAATGTCAGTATTTCACGTAAAAATTCAGGGATAACGAAGTGCACGTACTCTTGCACATACTTGCACCCCTTGGATAACGCGGGATGCCTGGAAAATGCTGGCCTGATCTCAACGGCTCCAAGCTGACTCTACCCTGCGAGCTCATCATGATAGTATAGGAAGTCTCTTTCAGGATCCCTGCAACCGAAGAACAACAACGCTTTGCCAACCTTCTTGCCAGCCTTGATCTGTTCCGCGCGCTCCTGGATAAAGCCACGCATCGGTGCGAGGCCCGACCCAGCACAGAATATCACGATAGGGTTACTGATGTCGGCCGGGAGATGGAAGTTAACAGCATTCCGGCGGATGGCAAGAGACACTGAGTCGCCTGGCGAGAAATCTTCCAGGATGCCCTCGCGCGTCGTGCAGATGTCTATATTGCCCTTTATGTCCGGTGTCATCTACCATGCCCTCAGTGAGGGATGCGTCATCGCGCGTCAACAGAGGACACGTACACACTTCATTCGCCATCGCCAACACTATCTTCATTGGGCAAGAATTTGCCTCGCTTGATGATGCTCGAAATGCTCTCACAGGCTTCTCCAACAGCCAGGCAGCAACCCACTGCGTTAGCAAGAGTGATAAGAGTCGGCTGATTGTGAAGTGCAGGGTGGAGAGCTGTGGATTCTATGCGTCGGTTGGGGGCAAAGACGGGGTCTTCCGTGTACGCAATCTTGAAGCCAATCATACTTGTCAGACACATGCTATCAAGCCTCGTGCAGCTACAAGTCGAACTCAGTTCCTTGTTGCCGAGTTGAAGAAGATCATGCCTGTTGATGGCCGAGTCAAGACGTCAACCGTGATGGACACCCTTCGACGGCATAACATCAGTGTTAAGCCTCAGCAAGCCTATCGAGCAAAGCGGCAGATTATTGGCAATCACGTCGAGAATCAGCTGAAGGAATTCCAAACCCTCCCAGCGTATGCAGCGCGTCTTGCAGCTTGCAACCCGGGAGCAACGATCAAGATTTCACTCGACTCAAAGCATGCCTTCACGTCCTTGTTCATATGCTCGGCTACTGCAAAGAGTGATAAGGTGTAGATAGCAGGGTGTTCACTGTGCTACAGCGAGGAGCTGGGGTCTGACCACTGACAAGGACTCGGGTTATGCCGAGTATGGGTTGGGGTTAACGAACCCTACCCTCGACCAAATAAGGAAATCGACCAGTCTCGACCACGAAGGGGAATCCACCGTCTTCTCCTATTGCAAGGACCTATAATAACAGTTGTTGACAGTAGTTGATTAACACCCCCGCGTCATCCAGGTTGGATAGCACAGACAGGGCAGTATTTTGAGTGGATGCAAGAGATGAAGATTGGATGTACTTCTAACTGCGTCGTCTGTACACCCGGAATGCTTCCGTTTGCCTCCGCTTAGTCAGCAGTCCCTATAGGCATGTGGGTAGTGCGGACACATCGCTAACTAGCTACATCTATCAAAGAGTGCATGGTGTTCCGTCCGTCACTTTTTCGCAGTGGATGGTGCATTCACGAAGACATCTTACGAATATGTCCTTCTCATGGCGGTTACACATGATGCGGAAGACGAGCTGCTTGTCCTAGCGTGGGCTATTGCACGACAAGAAGATACCCGGACGTGGTCCTCATTCCTCCAATCACTCAAGGAATCTCTCAACGGGCTCGATAGCCCAACAACCACAATCATATCCGATCGGCAGAAGGACTTGCTCAAAGCCATCTTGGATGAACTTCCGCTCGTTGAACAAGCATTCTGCGTCAAGCACATCATTACGAATGCAGTCCGACACTTTGGCAAACCAGTTGAAGATCACGTCTGGAACCTTGCCAAAGCGCCAACTGAGAAGGAATTCAACAAACACTTAGATGTGGTCCACAATGATCAGAACGTCAAACCCGGGGCAGCACCTTATCTCGCAGTCATCGAACGAGCTGCATGGGCAAGCTATGCATTTATCGAGCCACGCTTTGGTCGACTCACATCAAATGCAGCAGAAGTCATGAATAATGTCTTCCGTAAAACTTGTGAATTACCGGTGCTTAAACTCCTCGACTACATATGGTGTCATCAGATGGCACACCATTACAAGCGCCGGACGTATGCTCTCACTCTGCCATCAACCAATTCTGATTACGTGGCGAAGCACCTCAAGGTCTTCACCGACAATTGTGCTGCTGCCCGGACTTTTAAAGTGACGCCATCAGTTCATCTACAAGCTTTTGTCGAAGGACCAGGCGGAGACAAGTACGACGTGATGTTGGATCCAGAATTGAAGAGGGGAATGTGTTCATGCCGGTTCTTCCAGCAGTACCTTGTACCATGTGCACATGCAATTGCCGCTTGCTATGAATTCAATCAAGCGCCCGGCAAGTACTTTGACAAGTGCTACCTCAACTCAACGCTGCAAGAAACCTACCAAGTTCCATACCCGATGGTCTTGCTATCTGAGCTAGATCCGGACACCGCACTTGATCCACCTCAGCGAAAGATGCACCGTGGTCGTCCAGCAACTGTGAGGAAAGAGCCAGGAGCGGGTCCCCCTAGACAGACAATGTAATTAGATACATTCCGTGCGTAAGGAATGAAGGGCATTGTGGACGACGCCGGACGAAAAGGGCATTAGAGACGTTTTGCGCGACGCGCGAGGGCATCCTGGAAGATTTCTCTCGCCTGGCATAAGATTTGCTAAATAATTGCTGGCCACACCGAGGAAGTCGCGTTTCCCAGCCGTGGATGAGCCTCTGATGACGGAGAAAGTAAGAGTGCAATTTGCTTTCTTCCACAGCGACGAGGAGGAAATCGAGTAGCGCCGGATGCGCATGGAAGGCAGAAGCTTGATGAACTGTGCAAGTGGAATCTTGACGCTTGGATGCTGCTCCAGCAGATCCAGCACAGATAAATGCTTATCGAATACGTCGGTCTTGGGGTTGGCGACAAGCTTGTCAAGAGCCTGGCGTTCAGGCCCATCCACGGGAGCGTAACGCATCACCTCGTCCAAGTTCCTTTGGGACATCGGTTGCGCGAGCTCCACGTAACCGGAAAACAAGTCTTGCAAACTGACAGGTTCGTTGGTAGGTAGAGTCGTCGGGGCGCGACTCGTGATCACAATCTTTGTCTCGCCCAGGACGTTAAAATGTGCAAGCACCCGATGCACAGACTCAGGTGAATTGAGAGGGAGGACAGCGAGGTAGTCGCCTGTTTGGTACTCCATGCCAAGAGGGAGCTGGAACTCGATGTGCCGCTTCACAGGCTGGTCCGATGCAGTCAGAACGCGATTTTCGACGCATTTGCCCTCAGTAAGATCTGGTTGACGAAGAAGAATATCTCGTGTAGCGCCGACAACAGCCACGATGAGATCATCCTCTATGTCCAGTTCCGATGCCGCTTCTGGCGCGGCATCATTTAAATCTTTCGAAACGGCAGACCAGAGAGCTTTCTCCCACGCGTCGAATGAATTGTACACATTCGCTCCACCTGCATCGCCTTCTCCACGAGGGATCAAGCGTTCGGCGCCCAGTTCTTCCATTCGAGAGTCCACAAGTTTCGGAATCCTGTAGAACGATCGGACCCAGTCATGATTGCCAGCACCGAAAACAGCGTATTTGACACCTTGAAGTGGCTTGGTCGTTGCAGTCATTTCTTTGAGGGCCTGAACAAACCGCACTGCATTTTCGGGCGGTTGTCCCTCGCGACTCGAGGTGAGAATTATCACTGGCGCATCGCGAGGCAGATTTGCTACGTCCTCAACGCTATCCATTGCTCCGATCTTGGGGTTGAAACCGTGGATCACCGCGTCAGATGCGATTTGCTCAGCGAACCGCTCGCACGTGCCGCTGTCGGTACCAAAGAGCACTAAGAGTGGGGCACCCTTCCCCGGAGCCGTGTGCCCTACCTTCTGCAACGTTTCCCCTAGTACACCTGGGGACATGTACCCATTCGCCGCTCCGAAGACCTTCTTTCCAGCTCTTGGGATCGCATGGATCTTGAAACCCGTGGGTTTGGTGGTGATTGTCTCCTTCAGCTGCAAGCGGTAGCTGGGGTCGTCAAAGCGAATTTCAAACCGCTGAAACAGGGTAGCGAGCATCATGACGGATTCTTGCAACGCGAGTGCACGACCGATACATCCGCGCGCCCCGTTTCCGAAGGGTTTCCAGCTATTTGGTGGTAGCGTGTTGATCTTGTCATCCAACATGCGTTCTGGGCGGAAGGACTCGGCATCATCTCCCCACACTGCAGGATCCCGGTGCAAACCGTAGAAGTCGAGGAGCAGCGGCCAGCCCTTGCGCACCTCGTACTCCCCACAGAGGAGTTCAGTGTGGTTGAAGCTCGTCACGACCATACCCAGCGCTGGAGAGTTAAGACGCAGCGTTTCGCGGAGAACTGCATTTGTATACGGGAGCTTCGAGAGGTGATCCACCGTCAGAGGATTATCGCTGAGAACGGTGTCGACCTCTTTCTGCAAGGCGGCGTATGCCTGAGGGTTGGATAGAAGATGGTATAAGGCGAAGGAGAGGAGACCAGAAGTGGTCTCGTGTCCAGCGGCGAGGAATGTGAGGAGCTGGTATCGGATGTTGGTATCTGACAGACCACGTCCGGTCATGAAATCCTTGCCTTCCAGCATGAGCGAAAGCAGGTCCCGGGAGCCGGTGAGAGGATGTGTTTTCCGATGTGCAATCACTATCAGAAGAGATCAGGATACACAGAAAGAAAAACGTTACAAAATCACCTTCATCCACAACCTCGAACATGAGTTTAATGTCGGCCTCGTATTGCTTATTGATCACTCTCAATGGATGCATGAACTTGGGCATATGCGTCCTATTCCCACTCTCCACCAACCATCGGATCATAGCTTTGACGAAAGGTGCTCATGATAGAAGCTGTTGAACCGATAGCTCATCATGCAGAGGGCGATCGTATCGAACGTAAGGCGGGAGAACTCTTCTGTCGGATCGAAAGCAACGTCTGAGCCGAACCGTTCCCACTTGAGGAGCTGGGAGTTGATGTCGAGCATCGAGGGGAACATCGCGAGGATACTAAGAGGACCCAGCGCGGGCATGAGGATGCGGTCTGTATAAAGGTCAGCATGATAGATCGTACACCTTGCAGAACTACTCACGGGCAATTCCCCAGCTCTCTTCCCCATAGTATGCTGTCAACAAGCCGTCACCGATGGCATTCCTTAGCAGCTCTAACGGAGCACCTCGTAAATCCTTGTAGAAGCGCTTCTCATCACAGAGTTCGTTCGCAAGCCGTTGGGACGAGCACAGAATGACATTGGTACCCAAGAAGTTGAGCCTCACGATCTCGCCGTATTTTTTCTCCAGAAGGTTGAAAGATTTCACAGCTTGAGTAGGGTCGTAAACGCCTCTGCCAGCATGGCCCAAGATGGGAAGCGCAGGAGGTGAAGGTATCGTTTTACTCGCCATAGTTCGAGTCTTATTAGTTAATCAGTGAGATAGTCAATTCCCGGGTATTTGTAAACCTCCTCGTTGGAGAACGTATCTTGCCCGCCTTCATCCCACCCTGGCCGTCCGGTTGACCTCCCCCTTTGTTGTGCATAGGCTGGACCTGCGCCATCTCTCTAATAGGGGGATACCGCAGCCGTTGCAAGGCACGTAAGATATGGCGTCCGGCTGGTTAAGTAAGAGTGGACAAAGAGCGACCCTGGCCGACAGTGAGGAAGGAGGAAGAGGAAGTCAATTGAGATGAAGAGCTCGCGTTTGGGTCAGGGTTGTACGGCCAAGGATCGGTGATCGTTACGACATTGATGTCAAGACCAGGGAATGAACATAGCTCTCGCGTTCGCACACAAGTGAAAGAAAAGCAAAATACCTTGATGGCTTCTCGCGACTTTCTGGGCGATAGAATACAGTGCTATCCCACAGTTTCATCCGGTCAGGTCCGGGTTCGCTGGTACCGGTAAAGCGGCGATTGCCCGTCTTTGCGGTGTTCATTACTTGCACACTTATTGGAACAGACAACATGACCTTATAAGTGCAGCATGCAACACTTGTCGTTTTTAGAATCGACTGGTAAGATTAATATCAATACTGCGGATCTAGGGGTTGTATTGCAACACGTGCACCGCAGGCCGGCTGGAATTGATCGCCGAGCAAGTCGGGGACTCTTTCAAATTTATCGCACAGCTTTGGAATGCTTCTCTCCTCCACGTCTCATGCACACTGGCCATACGTTAGAGGAATCCGCTCATGTGAACTTTCAAAATGATGCGACAGGTCTCACCATATATGCAGTACTGGAGGCAACTATATAGCTGAATAGCACAGCGTCCCGGGCTACATTTCCTCTCCGACCTCGGGCATGTGTCAGCGCTAGTACGCGTCTTGATAAAGGAAGCCATCTTGCAGACGTGCTTCTTGCTCATTCCTAATTCGGGACGAGTGCAGACGACATGGTTCAACTGTTCCCCCGGCCGTTCAAGGGTATCATCACTGGCGACAAACCAGATCCATCAGTAACTGAAGTTCAAATCCTTGGCGCCGGGGTGGGACGTACAGGAACTACCTCACTGTACGTCTTTAAACGAGCTATCAACGGAAATTCATGGAGTATTTGGTATGCAGACATCAAGCTTTGGTTACGCTGGGTTTTGGGCCCTGCCACCATGGGTTCTCATTGCATACATATCCCCAGCAAAGTATTGCATACCTCCGTACAATAGGCAGTAAGCCACGTCTCGTCACAATTCATATGATTTCCTTCTCATATTGTGTAGAGCCGAATGCCGACTACGGAGCACTGCTCCGCGGTTACCGCTCAGCAATTGACTTGCCAGATTGCTTTCTCCTTCCCGAAATGATGGCTGCCTTCCCGAAGGCCAAGGTCATCCTCACCGTCCGCGATTCGCCTGAGGTCTGGCTCAAGTCGTGGAACAATACCTTGGCGCGCATGGCCACCGTTCACTTCTTCTTGCTGGTTCTCCCATTACGATCGGTACGCTTGGCCACACTCGTCGTATTAACGGTGGGAAAGTTCCGCTATCCCAATGTGCCTCCGAAAGACCTCTTCAATGCCGAAGCATACAAGAAGCACAATGATTGGGTTCGAAGCATTGTTCCCAAGGAAAAACTCCTGGAGTTCAACGTCAAAGAAGGATGGGAGCCGCTCTGCAAGTTTCTCGAGGTAGAGGTCCCGGACGTACCCTTCCCGCGCACGAACGATACTGCGTTCATCAATAAGCAAATTAACGACACAATGGTGTTGGGTCTGATGACGTGGACGGTGATTTTGGCTGGCATTGCAGGATCGGCGTACTGCATGTGGACAGAACAATGGCGCTGGCCGCTTGAACTGGTGCGGGACAACATTCTGCATTTACACGATATTCTGTAGCTTGTAGAGGAGAAGAATGTGTCTGGGTACTTTTCAGATATCACCGATTGACTGTATAGATCCATTCTCGGGTGTTTGTGACCGATATGGATCATGAGTTTGGGTTCCGAAGGTTTCCGTGTACTTGGCGCATGGGTCTAACATTGAATCTGCCATCGTGTGGCTCTTGTATCGACCACCTAGTTCTGATCGACTTCGTGTATACCCCCATGCGCACCTTTGGCTCTGGCCTGCTTGCCACTGCGAGTCGAAAGCGATGTACCCGATATTCATCTGGTTATGCAAACGGCGCGACGGACATATAAGCCTGCTCATTCTGCGAAGTTCCCCCCACCCCCCGCCCTCTTTGAAGGTATAACCTCGTCACTTCACCCACTTCAGAATAGATAGTCAAGCATGCCCAAACTCTTATGCTGTTTTTCAGTGCTGCTCGAAACTCAAAAAATAGGTCGCTCGGAATTGATAGTTATCACATTCCCATTCTGATGGTTTGATGGCTTGGCATGTTCCCAGGGTTGGAATGTGTGAAAGATGGACTCTTGCAGAGTCATCCCTCCTCACTCGCTCCCACCACTCAGGTCAAACGGCCAAACATGCCTAAATTCTTCACTTGGCCATTCCAAGATATGGTGGCAGGCGACAAGCCCGACGAGTCGGTAACGGAGCTTCAGATAATTGGTGCAGGGATGCCTCGAACTGGGACGGCTTTGTTGTAAGTCTTCGAGATCTATGAGAGACGATGGAGGCTTATAAGCATGTACAGGCACGCAGCACTCATGATCCTTGGATTCGGACCATGTCATCATGGATCTACTCTTCCCACATGTCCTGAGCGCAGCATCATGTATCTTCATACCGTCGGCAGTGAGCCTTATCAGGCTGGAGGAGTGTTCGTCTTTCTAATGCCTTGCAGAGCCAAATGCCGATTACAGAGCGTTGATGCAAGGCTACCGATCGACCTTCGATACTCCTAACTGCCATCTAGTGCCCGAGTTAATGGCTGCTTTTCCGGAGGCCAAAGTCATCCTCTCCCTCCGCGACTCTGGAGAGGTTTGGTCCAAGTCATATCAAAGCACGCTTGGCCGCATCGGGAATTGGAAATTTCTCGTCCTCGCCCTCCCGGTGCGGTCTCTGTGCTTGCTCATGCTTGTCGGATACACCGTGTTAGAGTACCGCTTTGGCAAGATAGACAGGCCCATTTTCGGCACTGTCAAGCTCTACGACATCCACATTGAATGGGTCCGCAGCATCATACCCAAGGAGAAGCTTCTGGAGTTCAACGTCAAGGATGGGTGGGAGCCACTCTGCAAGTTCCTCGGAGTCCCTGTGCCCAACGCACCCTTCCCACGAACAAACGACACTGCGTCTCTCAATAAACACATCGATACAGCAGTCATGTTGGGGCTGATGTCATGGATGGCGATATTCGCTGGCATCGCAGGATCAGTATACTTTCTTTGGTCGGCGAGGCAGTTAACTCGAAACAATCTCCATAGGCTCCATGACTTGTTGTAAAGGTATGTTCGGATAGCATTGGTGGGCATGTATCCGCCGTAGAGCTTATCGGATTCCACTGTCCTTTATCAGAACGGTCTCGGCCCGAACATGTTACCTTCGGGAGTTTGGGCGTATGATGGGTTGAGGCGGTGTCGACCATAACCGGAACTCATCCCTGAGCGCACGGTACATCCTCACATAAACAGAGAAACATACCAGCGCTTGCAGTCTCCGATGTGTCTGATGCTCACTCGTTCGAGTCTTCAAGTGAGCGCTTGCAAAACGCCGGATGGATGCGCTGTGTGATTCTCCGACGGCCGCAGAGGATCACTAATACTGCCCGAAACGGTTATAACATGGGCGCTTGATGCTCAACAGCAATACGGGTACCGCGGCGATATTCAAGACCAAATGAATAGATCGTATATAAGGCGGGTACTGCAGCGGATACCAGTCCCCCCTCACTTGGCATCTTTCTGCGTATTTACCTTATTCACCAATTAATCGGCCAAACCAAGATATAGGGCCCTTCTACAAGACCATGATGCCAACTGCCAACTCGAGCGCATCTGACCTTCGAATCATAGGTGCGGGACTTCCCATGACCGGAATGGAATCGTTGTACGTCGCATCTCCAGGTGAACTCTTGCGAGTGATCTAATGGCTTTTCGCAGACGGGCAGCACTGAAGATCCTCGGTTGCGAGCCGGATCGCACTGATAAGACACCCGTCTGGAAGCCCTCCACGCGCAAAGCGCTCGTTCCAATCCTCGATCCCCAACTTCCGGACTACTACGATGCACTTACCGGACATATCTCCTCGGTCGACGAAGCAAACTGCATGTTCGTACCACAACTTCTCACCGCGCTTCCGAAGGCGAGAGTGATCCTTACGGTGGTCGATTCGTCTGATGTCTGGTGGTCCTCCGTCCGCCCGATCGTTGCACATCGTAATCTCTCTTCCTCTCTCTCCAAAATCCGCGTTCCCGCACTGGGCACACCGATGGACAGAAGCTGGTTAAACAAGCACCGCCGCTGGGTACGAGGAGCTGTTCCAAAAGACAGGCTGCTCGAGTACAACCTCCGGGATGGATGGGAGCCCCTTTGCAAGTTCCTTGGCGTACCTATTCCAGACGTGCCGTTTCCACCCATCCCCGATAGAACGTAGAATACAGATTTTGTTTGCCTCCGGACTCCGTGTTTCGATCGATCATAGCTTGTAATCCCTATAAGCATCGCTTATTATTGACGCCATCAAGATATTCCATCACGGCCCGACCGAAATAATCGGAGCAACCGCGAAGTCAATGGCTTTCATGAGTTCCACCCATAGTTACAGTGTATGAGCTCAGGCAGACATTTAGGTGGCCAGTCATCCCCTCGGTCTTCAAGCCGGTCTTAGCATAGACAAGGAGGGAAAGACACCCGCTGACGGTCAGCTATTGGCATACCACTAGTAGATAGAACTATGCATGTGCATAGGTCGCAAAATGTCGCCAGGAATAAAAGAGTCGCTTCAGCATACTCGCGTTCAACCCTGCACTCTTTCAAAACCCAACCATGGCACCATACACGAACAACTCAGTCGTCCAGTACAGTGCAAAAGCGGCAGGTGACGATCTGGAGCTGCAGGTTATTGGGGCGGGGATGGGCAGGACAGGGACGGCGTCTATGTCAGTCGCATGGTATCAGCAGGTTTGGAGCACGCTGACGGTGTTCTGCAGACATGCGGCCTTGTCGATTCTTGGATTTGGGCCATGCCATCACATGGTATCGCTTTTTGAAGTGCCTGAACGGAGTTTGGCTTTCCTCGACGCGCTCAACGGTGCGCCGGGATATCCCATACACGCCAGACTCCCATCTGATTCCCTTTAGGCAAATCGACGGACTTCCGGTCACTGATGTCAGGTTTTCGTGCGACAGTTGACAGTCCCGGGTGCGATTTTGTCCCAGAACTGATGGCCGCGTTTCCCAATGCGAAGGTTGTCCTTTCTCTGCGCGATTCACCCAACGCCTGGTGGAAGTCGTTCAGTGAGACGGTATATGAAACGTCATTCCCGTCGTATCAACTACTGGTGTATCCCATCCCATTCATGCGCTACCAGTTCCGCGTCGTCACCGCGCTTCTCAACAAGAAATGGTTGCCCCGGTACGGGGTCAAGGCTGGGCCCGAGGTGTACGTCCGCCACAACGAGTTCATCCGGAAGATTGTACCACCCGAGCGACTCCTCGAGTTTAACGTCAAGGAAGGTTGGGAGCCTCTGTGCAAGTTCCTGGGCGTGCCCGTACCCGACGTACCTTTCCCACATACGAACGATTCGGCCACAGTGAAGGCCAATATTCGTATGGCTAAACTCATGGGTCTTGCCTGCTGGATTGGAATCCTCACGGTGGCAGGCGGAGCGTATTACTGGGGCGTGAATGAGGGAGGTTGGAAAGCGGTGGCTGGTTTCATTGGCAAGTTCCTCTAAGTATGTGGGTGATAGCTTCGCTCGTGTACGTTCCTGGAGATCAGTTCGAGGTTCTTGCTGCGGTTCCGCTCTGTCATCGTCGCCGGCGATCAGCCTTAATCCCTTCTCAGTAATTTATGAGCAGATGAGCATGCAAGTCGAGGGGAATGTAGCGAGTCGAACTCGTCGCTGGCAACCATGTCAATGTACAGTCGATTTATGTCTTGACGGGCAGTGTTGACGCCATTCGAAGCATACAAGGCGCTATCGGATGAACTTCGGGTCCTAGAACCCAAAGCCTCATACCACCTCGCACTTCAGTACTGGGTACTGCCTGATTTTATAGGCACAAACTTTGACATCTACCCCTTGAAGCCGGTCAATCTGATGCTGACACCAATCGCTCTGACATCACCCCTGGGACGGAAATCGAATTCAAACTGCGAATGCACACCACAGTGTATGCGTAGATCCAAGACTTTCGAAGAATCTCTTCTGCTCGCTCCACTGTGCCGTCATTACACAGTGCTACAAAAGAGGTCACGATCAACATTGACCGCGATGCCGACGAAAACATCATCTATTGGGTATCGGCCGTATTGCAGCACGCGTCTGTGGGTCAAGTTGGTCTCGCTCAGGGAGCGCATGCATTTAGCCTGCTTTCAACGATTACGCCGTCCTGTCAACCCATTCTCTCGAACTATTGGCCGGTCACTCGCTTTTCCCATTGCATCCTACTTGCTGGCAAGTGCTGCGATCAAGGGACGACATAGTACTCCCGTGCCGCGACTGGGTACAATGCATGCCAGTGACGCGTGTCTTGTCGGCCACTACAACGCCGAGGCTGGGAATACCTGCTAGTTAAAAGCCCTCCACGCGACAAAGTCTTAACAACGCTGGTTCTGCGCTTGCCATTCGCCCCATTCACCATGTCCGACAGTCAGACGACTGTCACAGCGAATCCGACCATCAGGGTCATCGGTGCTGGTCTTGGGAGGACGGGGACAACTTCGCTGTTCGTCTCTACATCTCAGAGAGATTAGTGACGGAGATGCTCACTGTAAGGCAGCAAGCAGGCACTGGAGATGCTTGGATTTGGGCCCTGCCACCATATGTCTGTTATACCGGGCAAGCCGGCCATGGTTCAGACCTTAGTTGATGCATATCATGGTGCGTGTATGCGCCATCATTCTATCGAATAGCTCTCTGACCAATATCTTAGGCAATTCCGTCGACTTTAAGACCCTCCTAGCAGGTTACGTTTCTATCCTTGACAACCCGGGATGTGACTTTGTGCCTCAGCTCATGTCCGCCTTCCCCGAAGCTAAGATCATCCTCACTGTACGCGACAGCCCTGAGGTATGGTGGAGGAGCGTACAAGATACGGTGCTCAAGTCAATGATACCAACGACCCGGTATCTCGCGCTATTCTTCAGCCCAAGCCTGTTCAACTTCATGCGCGTACCACGCGAAGTACGCTTGGGGTGGTTGAAGACATACGGCGAGCTTGGCCCCGTGATATATGTCAAACATAACGCGAAAATGCTCGAGATCATACCGAAGGAGAAGCTGCTTGTATACAATGTCAAAGAGGGGTGGGAGCCGTTTGTAAGTTCCTCGACGTGCCCGTGCCGACCGTCCCCTTCCCGCGAGTGAACGAATCTGCCCAGTTCAAGAAGATAATCCGCACAGTGCAGCTCATTGGCATCACCACCTGGACGATCGAACTAGGCCTAGTTGGCTTAATTGTTTGGCAGATAGTCAAACGAAGGCTCTGGGAAGCGTTCACCTGGCGAGGTATGTTCCCATCCTGGAGATAAACGGGCAAAATGACGTCTGGATTTTGACTCCTTGTATTGATATGATAACTGCATGTTATTGTTTGCTATAAACGATGCGTGCAGCTTGACTGTATGACCTCGGCACTCCCTCGGTACTCGCTCGATGTTCGAGGACGACGCTTTCCCATCGATTAGCGGGCACCTTGCGGCTCCGAGGCTCCGTGTAGAATAGTCGTATTTTGACACCCATCCGAGAGACAGGTCCTTCAGAGACCTCTTCGAGTACTATCGGAGAAGCCTCAGTTCTTATCCGCTTCTCAGGTACAAGCATAGGCTGAAAGACCTCATCGCGATTGAAAAAGGAGATGACGTCATCACGGGATCATACCTGGACTCCAGACTCTTTACCATCCTCTCACCTTTACCTTCTACTTTTACTTCGATCTGTTAGCATTTCCGTTTTCTGGTTACTGCGATACCTTTGGTTGGCTTTGTTATGAAACAGCAAGGTGTTCCCCATTCTCACCTACGTGGAGGCTTGCAAGTTCTGCTGTTTTCTTGTTGCTGTTTGTCACCCTAATGGGGTTCGGTTCAACCTCCTCACCGGCCTGGCTGCAGTTTCCCTTGTGGGGCCGATTGGCAAAAATAGCGCCCTACGTGGCTGCGGCAGGTACATCCCCGCGAGGTCTTGAAATTTATGGACTCCTCAGATGCATGATCTCTTTTTGTTTCTGTTCATCCCACGGTCATGGCTCAGTGGAAGGGTACTGAAACGACGCCCACGCACCTCCGGGTCATTGGAGCGGGTTTGGGGCGAACGGGCACGAGATCTATGTACGATACAGCTCTCCAAGGTCCTGAAATTCTCTGATGCCCGTAATATCTAGGAAGGAAGCACTCGAGATGTTAGGTTTTGGGCCATGTCATCATATGGTCTCGCTCATTGATGATCCCACGGGCAAACGAATGGACATGTTTGCTGAGGCTTACGCAGGTACGATTTTGTATTTGTTGAGAACAATGTGCACTATATTCTAAGACTGGAAAAGGAAAATCTGTCGACTGGAAACAAGTCATGGACGGGTTCGGCTCTACTGTCGATCATCCTACCACCGAATTTGCGCTCGAGCTTATTGACGCATTTCCCAACGCTCTTGTCATTCTCACTACGCGCGATGATGCTGAGGTGTGGTGGAAATCGATGACCGCAACTATCTATTCGAGCATGCGCTGACAATCGCGCATGCTGACGTGGTCTGTGCCGGCACGCTGGGGCTTCCACAAGATCGGCAAAGGAGTTGGTAACTGGTACCGCAGTAACTACGGACCCATGGGTCCCCAGAGCTACGTCAAGCATAATGCGAAGATGATCGAGAGCATCCCGAAGGAGAAGCTGCTTGTCTTCAACGTCAAGCAAGGGTGGAAGCCGCTCTGCGAATTCTTGGGCGTGCCCGTCCCGACCGTCCCCTTTCCGAGAATGAACGACACTGCGGAGCTGCAGGCACGCATACGAACGATGCGCTTGACAGGAGTCGGGTATTGGATATTGGAGCTGGGTTTGTTAGGGCTGATGGTGCACCAAATCATAAGGAAGAGGTTGTGGGATGTGTCGGTGCTGCGCCAGCTCATGAACATGTGAGTCAAAGCTGGAATATCGGCCATCGTGATATCAGACATTCGATATTTTCTGTACTTTGTTAGACAAAGCATGCAACACACAATGTTGGAATGACTGACAGGCTGGCAGGTGTTTAAAAACCGAGGAGATTGCCCGGGAAACTGGCATATATGGAAATAAAGGAGCGGCATGTCTGTATTGTCTTCACTCTGTATATTTTGGTTCCAGATTCTGAACAATTTTCTTTGCTTTAGTCTGTTGCTGGTGTAGTACCAGTTCTCCGCAGGCCGAACGGTAGAAGCTGGAGGAGACTTGGTGACACTACTCGAATTTCCCTTCTGAACATCTTTTAATGCGTCTCACTCAATTTGCTCACAAGGTACTCACCTGTACACAGCCGTCATTGAAACATGAAAATCGGAAGACTCGTGGATGCGAACGTAGGGTTGAATCCTGAAGTCATCATCGGGGAACGGGATGGCGTCATCGCGGGTTTAGAGTTGACTCCAACCTCGTCATACTGTGGTGTTCCCTTTGTTCCATTACTTCAAACTACTGAGATCGTTCTTGCAAATGCTGAGTGGATGTCATGTATCTGCTTGAACTGATGAGCATACAAGATGAGGGAGGGATTAACCTCACATAGGTGGAGGCTTATGAAGCGGCTTACCTGCGAGTTCCGCATGCTTCTTCTGCTTTTATTGATACCCTAACGGGAGGATCACCTACTGATCGGCCCGTGCATGAAATAGAACGCTACGTGGTCTGCGTTCCCGTGGGCTCTTGCTTGTAGTCCATTCCTCTGTTTCGTCTCTCCTTGTTGCTGCCCCGCTTTCTACGTGATCATGCCTTCCACAAATGGTGCTGGGTCGACGCCGACGCAGTTGCGGGTTATTGGAGTAGGATTAGGACGAACGGGTACGAGGTCCATGTATGGCTCCCTCCCCTCCTTCTCTCAAGTTGCTGAACCTAGCACATACGTAGGAAAGAAGCACTCGAGATCCTGGGATTCGGACCATGTCATCATATGGTCTCCATCATTGAGGACCCCACCAACACAAGGAGGGATATTTTCGTGGATGCATTTGCAGGTATGTCTGTCACTTGGTTGGAAGAGTAAGTCAAGTTTCAACATTGCACAGGAAAGCCAATCAACTGGAAGCAAGCTATGGCAGGGTTCGGATCGACGGTCGATCACCCTACCACTGACTTTGCCCTCGAGCTTATCAAAACGTTCCCCGATGCTCTTGCCGTCCTTACCACCCGTGACAACGCCGAAGTGTGGTGGGAGTCGATGACCGCAACTATCTACTCGAGCATGTGCTGGCAGACGCGCATGCTGACGTGGTCTGTTCCAGGAACATGGAGATTCCACAAGCTCGCAAAGGGCATCAGCAAGTGGTACCGCAGCAATTACGGTCCTTTAGGCCCGCAAAGCTACATCAAGCACAACGCTAGGATGATGGAGAGCATCCCAAAGGAGAAGCTGCTCGTCTTCAACGTCAAGCAAGGGTGGGAGCCGCTCTGCACATTCTTGGGTGTGCCAGTAACCAAAGTACCATTTCCGAGGATGAATGACACTGCGGAGTTGAGGGCACGTTTTCGAATAATGCACTTGACAGGACTGGGATTTTGGGCATTGGAGCTGAGTTTGTTGGGGTTGATTTTACACCAAACGATCAAGAGGAGGGTTTGTGAAAGGGCTTACGATGCCCTTTCGCTCCCAATAGTACACTAAACGAATGTATTACTAGCTGGTAGTAGTAATACAACGGGTGTACTAAAGAAAGATAAGAGAAAAGGGTGGCCTACAGCCACCCGCTACGTGTAAGTCCATCGGACGATCCGATCGCCCTAGAGGCGGTGTTACCGTATATGGTAAGTATGGGGATATCTACGTATCCCTTACAGTTTGGGATGTATCGGTGCTGCGCAAATCAATCAAGGTGTGAGCTAGTGTGGCTGATGTTGATAATCTCAATATCGGACATTCGGATCTCTTTTTGCTCCTGAGCGGTGTTGAGAAAAAAGAAGATAAAAATGCCATCCCGCGCCGGGCTTCGAGAAGAAAAGGATCAGGGCGATGTACTGGGCGGCCAGGGTCTGCAACCTTATCACTCTCAGAAACATCCTCCTCAGCCTCTAATTTGCTACTCACTGCGCAATCATCATGCAGGCAAGGATGATGCCGACAATGTACTGGCGGCATTACGTCATTAGACCGAACAAAACGCAACATCGTAGCTGTGGGCTGTCCGGACGATGCATTTGCATTTGCAAGACTGCACCATGCCACCTCAAAGCAACCAGCCAAACTCTTCACCAACCCAGTTGCGTGTTATCGGAGTGGGTTTAGGACGGACGGGGACGAGATCCATGTATGTGATGCAGTAGACTGACCTAACAGTGGTGATAAACATGATCACACAGGAAGGATGCCCTAGAGATTCTCGGATTTGGACCATGTCATCATATGGCTTCCCTATTCGCCGATTCTAATGGAAGACATATAGATACCTTCCTGCAGGCTCGGACAGGTGCGCTCGTGTCCTGTTAATCTTGAGACAAAGATATTCATAGGATTTAGGGAAGCGAGTCCACTGGAGGCGGCAAATGGCGGGTTTCGGCTCCACCGTAGACCATCCAACCACTGACTTCGCCCTCGAGCTCATCGACACTTTCCCCGACGCCCTCGTCATCCTCACTGTACGGGACAGCGCAGATGTCTGGTGGAAATCGGTGCAGGATACTATCTATTGGGGTCCCCGCTGGCAAACGCGCATGGCGTGCTGGTCCCTCCCTCCCACCTGGAAGATGGCGAGGCTCAGCAGAGATATTGGTAACTGGTACCGCAGGAACTATGGATCTCTAGGTCCGGAATGCTACACCAAGCACAATGCCCGAATGGTCGAACTTATCCCGAGAGAGAAATTGCTCGTCTATAACGTTAAGGAAGGCTGGGAACCGCTCTGCGCATTTCTAGGCGTTCCGGTGCCTACAGTCCCTTTCCCGAGGAAGAACGACACCGCCGAGATGAAGAGGCTTCTTAGGGTTGGAACAATGTTGGGTGTTATTTTCTGGATTGCAGAGCTAGGGTTGGTTGGGTGGGTCATTCACCAGGTGATAAAGAGGCGGCTGTGGGACCTATTTAATTTGCGCACGGCGCTCAGCTTGTAGCACGTGCATCTGGATCAAGTCAACATGGTGTGTAACACTAGTGAAACAGGAAGTTGGTTACATGTGCATCGCCGTTCTTCGGACCACATGGTCCGAAGCGCGTCTGCCCATCAGAAAGAACGATGTTGATGATAACCTTCCCGACTCGAAAACACATAAAGGGACACGCAAGACACCTTTTCTCTCATGCTCCCAACCGTCCCCTCGAGCATGTCGACCGCTTCTGTGACTCCAGCTTCTCACAGTCCTCAGCCCAAGCTCAGGGTGATCGGTGCTGGCCTTGGTCGTACTGGGACGAGTTCTGTGTATGTGTCTCCAACTCGGGCAGCAAAAGATGGACTGACACGATATTGGTATAGGAAGGAAGCGCTCGAAATACTAGGCTTTGGTCCATGTCATCACATGGCAGAACTTCCTGGGCGGACGGGCCGGTGCTGGGCATATATTGACGCACACCGAGGTTCGGAAGCTCTTTCATTTTCAGTCCACGATCTAACTCAGGCATGGTTGGTCTATAGGCAAACCGACCGATTGGCGAGTGTTCATGGCCGGGTGGGGCCGGGTAGGGCAGCACTGTCGACCACCCGAACTGCGACTTCGTTCCTGAACTGATGGCTGCGTTTCCCGAAGCAAAGGTTATCCTCACGGTACGCGACTCACCCGAAGTCTGGTGGAAGTCGTATTGTGACACGATCTTGCGGATAAGCCCGCTTTGGAACGGCTGGTTGATATTCTCCGTCCCGCCAATGTTCGCCTTCTGGAGCGTCGGCAGGAACGTCGATCGGTTCAAGAAGACGTATGGCTCGATTGGTCCGGACTCCTATGTAGCGCATAACGCTCGTATGAAGGCGCTGGTGCCGAAGGAGAAGCTCCTGGTGTACAATGTCAAGGAAGGTTGGGCGCCGCTTTGTACGTTCTTGGGCGTGCAGGTACCGAATAAGCCGTTTCCGAGGAATAACGAGACGAAGGATATGCACAAACGGTTCCTGCTGATGCGCATCATGGGTGCTGGGTGCTGGATACTAGAGCTGGGCGCAGTGTATCTTGTCTTGAGGATGTTGTGGAGGAGCGGGTGGTTTGAGGGATTAAAAGTCATGGATCGTTTGAGAGAGCTGTAGGCAAATTTCGTTTTCTTCCAAGGCTAGGGGGGCGGCATTGGTTATGTAACGAAGATGATCTCAGCAATAACGAGTATCGATGACAAATATACCTTCGTTCATATTCAAGTTTAGCCCAGTCGCCCTGGATAAGGAACCCGCCCGCTGGCCGACCCCTGTGCCGTTGGCTTCCGCGTCACTGAACCGGAGAGTTCTCACGGAATACATTCCGCGCTGTTTTCACATCCACTGCAATCGTCACCAATGTCACTTTTTATACGGTTACCAACGTCGGCTTACGGGATTGTTATCATCGGAAGTGGTTGTGTCGATTTTCACACGGCAGGGTCAAGGAGTGGACTGGTCCTGAAGTAACCGGAACGACCCATGAACAGTTCGTCCACAACCTGCCTTCCACTTCAAGCCTCATCATCCCTCACCACTTGCCACTCTCTGCCTTCGGCGGATGTCGTGTTCAAGACTCTTCCTGGCATTCATGGAACATGTTATGCTGCATTGACACGTTGACCAGCTTACTCATCCATGGTCACTGCGCACCCTCCCCGGGATGGCCGAGTTGAAGTGCACGGACCGTCGGCTCAATCGCCAACACTGAGGGGATATAACCGCTTCAACGAGCACTACTTGAAGGAGCAAACCCAAAGCTCACCAGTAACCCCAGCATCGACTTGATCTCGATCTGAAATTCTCATACTGCTATACCTGAAGATGAGCTTCAAGCCGATACCCTGTCCCCCTACAGTCCCATTCTTAGGGCACGTGGGGCTTTCACAAGCAGGTGCACGGGAGCCCCTTGGAAGTCGTCAGAAATGGAGTGGGGGACGGCCTATTCACTGCATACCACGGGGAGGAAAACTGGGGCATTGCCCGTGAGTTTTTCGCAAGTTCGTTGTTCATCACACTGACTGTGCTCGAGATCGTATCTTAATGCCCGCTTTTGGCCCTTCCAAGATCCTCAGCATGTTCCCTGCAATGCTCGACATCAACTCCCAGATCCTCTTCAAGTGGGAGCGCTTCGGACCAGATGTCGCCTTTGATCCGACGGAGGATCTAACCCGTCTCGCTTTCGATACAGTCGCCCTGTACACGATGAGCTACCGGTTTAACAGCTTCTACGAGAAGGATCTGCCACCTTTCATTGTATCAATGGCCAGGTTCCTATTCGAAAGCGGGCTGAGGCAACAAAGACCCAAGGCGGTGCAGTCCTTCATGAGGCAAACCAATCAACAGTACGAGGAGGATATCAAGCTCATGACGGATGTTGTCGATGAACGTGAGCACCTTTCTTTCTCTGTGGGTCTTGCATGTAGGACTGATGTGTAGACTAACAGTCATTGCTCACCGCAAAACTCACCCTCTTGCCGGCTCAAAGGATCTTCTTTCCCTCATGCTGGAAGGCAAAGATCCTAAGACTGGGCAGGGCCTCTCTGACGCGAACATCCGCTATCAGCTCATCACCTTCCTCATCGCCGGACACGAGACAACCGCTGGCACGCTGTCTTTCTCACTTTATTATCTGGTGTCCAACCCCTCGACGTACGCCACACTGCAACATGAGATTGACAGGGTTCTCGGTGACCAGCCACTTACCCTGGATCATATTCCCAAGCTTAAGTATGCCGCTGCTGTCCTGCGCGAAGCCCTTCGCCTCAATCCACCAGCACCTGCGATTGGACTTGTCAGCGTGAACGACCGCGACGTCCTCGGAGGCGAGTTTGAGGTGGGTTCGGAATGGAATTGCGTTCTCGATATTGCGGGCCTGCATCGTGACCCCACCGTATGGGGTGATGATGCAGAAGCTTTCCGCCCGGAACGCATGCTTGACGGTAAATTCGAAGCACTTCCACCAAATAGCTGGAAGCTTTTCGGCAACGGCGTACGGGGTTGCATCGGCCGGCCACTGGCGTGGCAGGAGGCGATCATGATGTTAGCCACCCTTTTCCAGCGCTTCGACATCCGACTGGACGATCCCAGTTACCATCTGCACCTCAAGCAGACCCTCACCGTCAAGCCGAAGGACTTCAAGATACATTTGATCCCTCGGGAAGGGAAGAAGATTCTCGCTATTCCTGGCATGCAGCCATCCCAGCTCGCACCGGGCGTGCGTGAAGCTCCATCCATACAGAATGGACATGCAGGGGAGGGGAAGGGCACACCTTTGCTTGTTCTTTTCGGAAGCGACAGCGGCACATGCGAGGGCTTTGCTCAACAAGTCGCTTCTGACGCAGCATCGTACGGCTTCAACCCCAAGATGGGGGCCATGGACAGCGTCGAGGATGTGACGAAGTTGCCACGCGATGGACCAGTGGTGATCATCACCTCGAGCCGCGAGGGCCAGCCTCCCGAGAATGCTGTACATTTCGTCCAAGGGATCACTGATATGGTTCCTGCAGAGAAGCCACTCGAAGGAGTCCAGTATGCCGTATTCGGTGCAGGCAACCGTGATTGGGCGCGCACGTTCTTCCGCATCCCGAAGCTCGTCGACTCTCGATTGGAGGTGCTCGGTGCTGAACGGCTGGTTCGCCGGGGAGAGGGTGATGCTGGTGGAGACGAACTGTTCAGTTCGTTCGATTCTTGGGAGAAGACACTTTGGCCAGCACTTGGCAAAGCGTTTGATACTACTGCCCCTCCCCATTGCAACCTCGAAGGGGTGATGAAAGATGACCCGGTCGTTACTGTCACTGGCACAACGAGAAACATCCTCCTTCGCCAACCTGATCTAACGGAAGGATGTTGCGTTGAGAATCATATTCTCACTGCCCCTGGACAGCCAGTCAAAAGACACATAGAGTTCCAACTTCCTCAGGGAATGGAATACCGCCCTGGTGACTACCTGACCATTCTTCCTCTCAACCCACCTGAATCTGTACACCGCGTCCTCACGCACTTCAACATGCTCGGCGAGACGAAGATCGCGATCAAGAGCCACGGGCCGACAACCCTTCCCACAGACGAGCCTATTAGCCTGCAAGACATCTTCTCTGGGTATGTCGAACTCGGGCAACCCATGACACAGAGGAATCTGGACGATGTCATGCGCTATGCGCCCAATGAGGGCCCCGAGCGACAGGCACTCAACGCGCTTGTAGCCAACGCGAAAACCGAGATTTTTGAGAAGCGCATGGCAGTGCTCGACTTGCTTGAGCAATACCCCAGCATCAAGGTTCCTCTAGGCCAGTTTATCAAGCTCTTGCCCTCTATGCGTATACGCCGTTACTCGGTTTCCTCTTCCCCGCTGTTCAACCCGAGCAACTGCGCCCTAACATTCTCTGTCATTACTGGCCCGGCTCTTTCTGGAAAAGGCGAGTTCGTCGGCGTGGCGAGCAACTATCTTGCACATCTTAAGCCCGGTGACCCGGTCTCCCTGGCCATCCGGCAGAGTGCAGTCAACTTCCACCTACCGGCGGACGTCACCAAGCCTATCGTGATGTTCTGTGCTGGATCCGGATTGGCTCCCATGCGCGGGTTCCTGCAGGATCGTGTGGAGCAGCTCGAGGCCGGAAGGGAGGTGGGCAAAGCGCTCCTGTTCTTCGGCTGCAGAGATCCGGCCGAAGAGTATCTGTATAAGGAGGAACTTGCTGCCTGGAGCGAACTTGGGGCAGTCGAGCTAAGGCCGGCTTTCTCTCGACATCCGGAGCTTTCAGGAGGCTGCAAGTATGTGCAGGAGTGAGTACAGTCCTTGTGCATGCAGTCCGTCCGTTTACTCATACCCTCTCGTAGCCGCGTATGGAAAGATCGTAAGATCGTCCGGTCCCTGCTCTTTGATCAGGGGGCCCGATTCTATACCTGTGGTATGGCAGCTATGTCCACCGGTGTGCGGAACACATGCGTCAAGATCATCGCCGAATCCGGGCCACATAGTCTTGAGGAGAGCGAAGTCATGTTCGAGAAGATTGCGATCGAGCGGTATTGGACGGACGTGTATGGCTGAATGCAATATATACCTGATGGTGTAGCTATATGAGTAACTGATCGTCGAAATGACGCTTACGAAATCTGACTTGTGAGACCCGGTTATCAAGATATGTTGAGATAAAAGTAAGGTTGATGGTGACTAAGGGTACTGTCAGGATGTGCTCACGTTGCGTGAATGGACCGTGAGGAATGAAGATGCCGACGGTTTGGTGCGAGACTTGGAAACGAGGATGAACTTGTCCAATACCGAAATGAGCCACGGACTTCAATGAGATTGAGAAACGACGGACGCGTCTAGATAAGCTTGCGAAGGAAACCGAACGTAGTCTTCCACACTTCCTCCCTTACGCCCCAGTAAAACGCTCCTCCTAGCACCGCCAAGATCCCCGTCCACGCAGCGACTCCCATAAGCTTAGCCATGCGAATATTAGCGTTCACCTCGGCCGAGTCGTTCGTATGGGGGAACGGCACGTCCGGCACGGGCACGCCCAGGAACTTGCACAGCGGTTCCCAGCCCTCCTTGACGTTGAACTCGAGCAGCTGGTCGGGGGGGACGATGTCGCGGATGAATGCGCGGTGCCGGGTGTAGACCTCCGGCCCGCTCAGCACGCCGTAGCGTGCCAGCCACTTGTTCTCTAGGATGGCAGTGACGACGCGGGACTGGAGGCCGAGGAAAGGGATCGGGTAGACAAGAGCCTGGTAGGAAGTGTATGACATGCAGTAGACCGTCTCGCTGCACGACTTCCACCAGACTTCGGGGGAATCGCGCAAACCGAGAACGACCTTGGCTTTGGGGAAAGCGGCCATCAGCTCGGGGACGAGATCGCACCCGGGGTTGTCGACTGTTGCGCGGAAACCGGCCATCAGCGCTCGGAAGTCTGTGGCTTTGCCTGCGAAGGATTAACAGGGCTTCACAACGTGGTTCCAGGCGCACCGTTCAGAGCATCGAGGAAGGCTACACTCCGGGCGGGTGTCTCGAACAGGGATGCCATATGATGACATGGCGCAAAGCCGAGGATGGACAGTGCTGCTTGCCTACAAATTGGTCAGCGCTAAACATGTTTGAGACGCATGCGACTGACATGGATGATGTCCCGGTTCAGCTCCGATGACTTGGAGTTCGACATCGTCGTCGGATGCTTTGGCGTTGTGCTTGACTAAGGTGTTGTTGAATGGTGCCATGGTTGTAAACTGATGCTGATGGGGTTGAAGAGCACGAGCATGAAGCGGCAGGCCTTTTATTTCCTAGTGGTTGACGAGGTGTCTTGGGATGCTATGCAGGGGAAACGTCACTGTTCCTTCCCCCATGTGCGCCTTGCATGCACCGATCATATTGAATGTCCATGAGGCCAAGAATAGAGTTGCCACCCAGGGTTGATCACTTCGATCGCACCGCATGTGAGCAAAAATATGTTCACGTTGTGACCAGCCGGCGAGTCTGTTTCATGCTTGAATTCCAAAAATGGGCGTAAGCGCTCAGTCCCCCGCCAGTTCTGAGTCAGTTCCATCGCCTTGATCGGCCACACCCGATGTGAGGATGGAGTCCTGTGAGAAAATCACAGACAACAAGAGACCGCACATAGAGGCATCATTGACTGTAACGACATATGAATGGACAGAACGACCAGGAGAGTGGGAAGGGTGACATGAAAATAAGCCCGCTCGGTGAGGATATGCAGCGAGGGCTGTCATTTCCCATGGCATAAGAGTACCACGTCGTCTCTTGATGACAGCACTGCGCTAGAAATGAGAAGTACACTAGAAAGCAGACAACAAGACGGTTATCTCGGAGAAGGTTTGAAAGGACGAATGAATCCCAAACACCTTATATGTCGTTTGCTCGAGGAATCGAATTGGTGAGATGCGTGGGGAATGGCGCGATCTGCTTCGCCTGATCCCGAGCATATATACAGGTGTTTGAGTAATGTGATATTATATACCTGGACTATGCCGCTCTAATGGACGTTCAATGTCGGTTTATAATGCTCGAGGATCAAGCTCTGGATGATGGAAGAGAAGCAAAGAGTGATCGGGACCAATTGGAGGATGAGGATGGTTCTCTGTGAGCTCCATGCTCTGTGTCTCACACTCTTCTCTGGCTCTTCTGGCTATCGTTCTCGAATGGTCACCCAGTGACGTCACATGGCGTATGTCATCGTTGAGCGGCGCGAAATGAAAGACCTGGAAGCGTTGGTGCACCAACCTGCGGGGTGACGGGCTATAAGACCACACCATGAGCGCATACACCTAGCCTTGTCCCAACTGCTGTCAGCTGAACCTCTCCAACTCCAGTAATCCAACCATGGCCCCTTCCGAACAATACAAACCTGGGTTCGTTCCCGACTTCCAGCCTCAGAACGCTGTACCAGGCAAGCAGCACAAGCTCGACCCCGAACCACACGACCGCGAGCTGCACGACGGCTCGCTCTATAAGCCTGCTGGGAAACTGGAGGGGAAGAAAGCATTTATCAGTGGGGGTGACTTGGGGATTGGAAGATCTGTCGCTATCCTGTTCGGTGAGTGGGTTAGTTGTATGTTGTTGGAAGAGGCACTGATGGATATCGTAGCGCTTGAAGGGGCAGATGTGAGCATCGTACACCTTCCGGAAGAGGAGAAGGACGCGCATGATACGGTGCAGAAGATCAAAGAGTGCACTGGTGGAAAGCGGAAGGTGCAGCTGTTGCCGATCGACCTTACCAAGGAAGAGAACTGCAAGAAGGCGATTGAGCAGCATATACAAGCATTCGGGGCGCTGGACTCTCTGTGCGTCAACTATATTGTCATGCCAAGAAGTACCATCTAATGACACGCAGGATTCTAAACCACGGCACCCAAAACGCCGTCAAGTCGATCGTCGACCTCTCCTCCGCCCAGTGGCACCACGTTTTCGACACGAACATCCACTCCTTCTACCTCGTCAAGCCGCCCTCCCGTACCTGAAAGAGGGAAGCACGATAGTCTTCAACGCGAGTATAAATCCCTTTGTGGGACATCCGGAGCTGGTGGATTATACGAGTTCCAAAGGGGCTGTTGTCGCTTTTGCTAGGGCGCTGAGTAACCAGCTTGTGGGAGAAAAGGGAGTTAGAGTGAACGGTACGCCCTCGTCTATTCCCATCTCCTCTGCTCGCCATCTGTCATTTTTGTACTAATGGGAGGCGCAGTTGTCTGCCCAGGCCCGATATGGACGCCCCTTATCCCCGCGACGATGTCCGAATCTTCCCAGAAATCGTTCGGGAAGAACGTGCCGATGCAGCGACCTGGACAGCCTATAGAGTGCGCGACATGCTTCGTGTTTTTCGCCAGTCCGGATAGTGGTTACCTCAGTGGGCAGACGTTACATCCGAATGGTGGTAGTTATATGGGCTAAGTGACAGAGGTTAAGTGTGTAGACCGGTTACTACCGTTCCTGAGTCTCTAAATTGAATGAAACGGATGCGAAGGCAAAATTTGGATTCCGTAAGACAACTCGGCGACTTGATCTCCGATCGGAGTAATTTTTCCTGGTACATTAATAGTTTCTGCTCACCTCACGTCTCGTCTACATCTTTGATTATTCCACTAGTTACTAGTTCCGAATTTGGAACATGTCAACAACTATGTCCTCCAAGGAGCCGGAGATAGCAGTCATCGGAGCCGGCTTTGGTCGGACCGGCACAAGCTCGTTGTGAGTCTCTTTCTAAGGGACATGGAGCCTACCAAACTAGGGCTGAATGTTGGCGACAGAAAGATCGCCCTAGCACAACTCGGCTTTGGTCCGTGCAATCATATGACAGAAGTGGTAAAGGATACGGCCAGGTGTCTAGGCTTCATCCGCGCATATCACGGTACCCCCACATTGTCCCCCAACCACTGCCCTTCTTCTAACTTACTTTATTCAAACAGGCAAACCCACAGACTGGCGGAGCCTCATGCGTGCCTGGGGAGCAACAGTCGACGACCCGACGTCCGACTTCGTGCCCGAACTGATGGCTGCCTACCCCAATGCCAAAGTCGTGCTGACAGTCCGCGACAGCGCCGAAGCGTGGTGGGCGTCTTTCCAGAGCACGATAGCAAGATTCGATTCCCCCTTGAGCGGGCTGCTGGTGTTTAGCATCCCGCAATTCTTTATTGCCTGGCGGCTTGGGCGAGAAGTGCGCGCTTTCCGTCGAAGGACGTATGGGTCCCACGACGCCCAAGGGTATGAGAAACATAATGCGCGCATGATCGCCCTCGTTGCGAAGGAGAGGATGCTCGTGTACAATGTCAAGGAGGGATGGGCGCCGTTATGCGAGTTCCTGGGCGTGCCCGTTCCCGAGGGCCCGTTCCCGAGGACGAACGAGACGAAGGACATGATCAGGATTATGTGGACAATTCGCGCTGTTGGGGCGGCGGCTTGGACTCTGGAGCTCGGACTGATCGCGTTGCTCATTAGGCAATCGATCAGAGGAGGATGGTGGCGAATGTTGGACGTGAGAAGGTTTGTGGGAGAATTGTGAAAAGAAGCCTACCAGTAAACCTGGAGAACACGTGATGATTGGTCATAAAGACGGCGCAGGGCCATGGCCTTCCTTTTCCTTTTCCCTCTGATTTGACATTAATGCTGCTTGATCTGCTCCGAGTTTTACATTCCTTACCATAATGTCTTCATCACCTTCGACTTGAGCGTTTGTATGTGCGCATACTGTGGTATTTCTGGCTCATATGTGCCGTACCGAGACGATACTTCTTTCCGCAACGTATAATTACTCGGCGTCTCTCTACTCTTTTAGGAGATATTGACAGTGCCAATCTGGGCATTTACCTCATTGTTATCGATGCGGTCAGCCCGGATCCGTGCTGATCGGATTACCTTGCGACTGTTTTCGCGTTTTGCCGAGATGCACCAGTCATTCCCCCGCAAGCTCGTGATGTCATTCAGCATGCTATTCGGACTGTCAATCCTCTTTCTGCATCTGGCATATAAAGAGAGTGCTCTATCACTCATTGGAGTATCTTCCCTCGAGTCTCAGCTTCATTCAACATGGGAATCTATGATGCGCTTGTCCTTGCCGACTCTCCGCTCTTCACCTACTACCCGCCTCCTGGGCTCGACCCCTCATCGTCCTGGGTAACGGTCTACCCAAACGCCACCCTGCCGGTCTTTTACTACAGCACGGAGACTCCTGTCGCTTCAGTCCAGTTCGATTTCTATGGCAACGAGGTAGGGCTCATCGCACCTGGCGAACCTGGGTGCGGATATACGATCTCGATCAATGGCGTGTTCCAGAATCATACCTTCCACCAGTCGTTCGACCTTCCCGTGGGGCAGTATCATGTGGAGCTCGATGTCGCTTGTCAACCAGGACAGTCTATGGCATTCGAAGGTGTTATACTGTCTGAGACCCAGGGGCCTAATGACCTGTATGCTGACCCGTCTATCTGTGAAGCACATGACTAACCACAGTGAAGCATCGATGACACTGTAACGCTTACCAAGAATGATATTCGCACTACTGGGCTGTGGGAAGAGAAGGTGGTCTACTCGGTGCGCATGCCTTCCACATACTATCATTGTACTAAACCGGATCTCAGCCATACTACCTTGCGAACTTCACTCAATTTCAGACCTATTTAGTACGTATTATTAGGCGTTCTTTATTTGAGGGACTTATCCCGTTCACAGCCTGGGTCTACCCTTTCTTACACCTTCAAAGGTGTCCAAACCCAGATTATCGGCACTGTTGGGCCACAGAGCGGCAGTTTACAGGTCACAATCGACGGCCAACCTTCTAAGATATTGTCGACCTACCGGCCAGGATACGACGATACGGTGGTGCTATATCTCAAGCAGTTCCTAGATAACTACGAGGAGCACACGGTGGAAGTGACGAACCTTGGTCAGAACCTTACGATACTGCAGATGAACTACGATGTCCTGTAAGCAGAGAGATGAGCTTCCATTTGACGTGCTAACATGTGCCAGGGCACCCGAGACCTAAGCGACCAACTAGCGCTTGCATCTTTTCTCTGCATGGATTTGCGTTGTCTTCACACTACTCGTGTGAAACAGTTACTTTTTTTTTGAAATGAAACATTTGATTGGTGTCCACATATGCATGTGACAATACGTTGGGAATCTGTACGGTGTGATATGTGTTGTTCTCAGGTGTTTTGTGTGGCAAGGCAGCATACCAAGTGAAGCCAGCGCACATTCATCGACCGACACAACACGGATGCCACACTGGAACAGACAATCTACAGCATACAGATGATTTCTCATTCGGATTGACATTACTTATTTTTTGCTATTCGATTCACATGGATCCCGTCCATGACTTACCTGAACGCACATTCATTCAGGTACAACCCATTCAGAAGGGAACGGTCCGGCAGATTGCCCTGTCAACCCGGGTGTTGGAGCGGTCAGCATGGGGTGAGGGCAGAAGAGAAGTTCGGAGATGATTTAGAGACGGTCGACGTTGCCGAGATCGCGGCACGCTTCCTTGACACGGTCAGACATCGTCTTCTCGCCCTCACGGACCCAGACACGAGGATCGTAGTACTGCATTCAATGTCAAAAAACACATTGAGGGAAGGCAAATGGCAACAGGTAGACGCACCTTCTTGTTAGGCTTGTCCGCGCCCTCGGGGTTGCCGACCTGGGTCTGGAGGTAGCCAGCCTTCTTCTGGAAGAAATCGCGCATGCCGACAAGGTAGGCGTACTGCGTGTCCGTATCGACGTTCATCTTAACCACACCGTTCCTGACAGCCGTCTCGATCTCTTCCTTAGTTGAACCGGAGCCACCATGGAAGACAAGGAAACTGGGGAGGAAGTTAGAGGAGCATTGTGCTAACAAAAGCAAAAGGCGCACAGAGGCTTTGTGCCCTTGACGTTGAGCTGCTCCTCAGCATACAGCTGATGCTTCTGCAGGAGTTCTGGGTGGAGCTTGACATTGCCCGGCTTGTAGACACCATGGACGTTACCGAAGGCAGCAGCGATGGAGAAGTTGGGGGAAATCTTGCTGAGGGTCTTGTAGACATCGAAGACGTCCTCAGGCTGGGTGTATAGGCTGGCGTTATCGACATCCTCGTTGTTCACGCCGTCCTCCTCACCACCAGTGATCCCGATCTCCATCTCGAGCCACTGACCCATCTTGGCCATACGCTCGAAGTACTTGGCGCACAGTGCAATGTTCTCCTCCTTGGACTCTTCGGAAAGGTCGAGCATGTGAGAAGAGAAGAGGGGTTCACCGTGTGACTTCATCCACCGCTCGTCCTCCTCAAGCATACCTGATGTTGCGGTCAGCTTCTCTACACCCAGACCACAATGTCCACATACCATCGAACCAAGGAAGGAGCTTCTTAGCGCAGTGGTCGGTGTGCATAACGACAGGGACGCCGTATGCCTTGGCCACGAGGCGGACATGGTGAGCAGCCGCGATAGCACCAACGATAGACGCGTTCTGGTTCTTGTTGTCGAGTCCCTTGCCGGCAAAATATGCTGCACCACCCTGGGAGACCTGGATGATAATGGGGGACTTGATGTCGCTGGAGAGCAGGATTAGTCTGTATCAGATGACGGGAAGGTTCGCCGTGCGCACCGAGCGGCCTCGAGCACGGCGTTCACGGTGGAAGAGGAGGTGCAGTTCTGGGCATATGCGGTAAGCTACCAGTTATACATGGGCAATATAGGGACATACGATGGCAGGGATAGCAAACTTCTCCTTCTTTGCCCACTCGAACAGCTTGCGGACGTTATCTCCAGTGAGGACACCCGCCTGTCCACGAAGGCGACATCAGGGTCTCTCCTTCGTGCTCGCTCGCTGTTTACTCACGGGGACAACATCAAGGACACCCATTTTGATGCTGAGGACTATAAGTGGTGGTGGTATGAAAGAGAGGACAGTGAGCAAGCTGGATGGAGGGTGATGAGGGTGAATATATGCACTCGCTCTCCACTGAAAGGTGACTGACGTAGCGGAGATTGAATTACATGTATAGCGGACCGTGAATTCACCGCGGGTCCGAACACACCATGTACGGCCAAAAAAGGAAATCATCGCAGGCTGACCGTTTTTCCCACCGAACAACAACGCGAACGTGCCTGACGCCCTGAAGGATTCCCGACCTGCCCCGAGAGCCACGCGGAGGCAGACTGTGAGCGGGGGCGGAGGTATTCTTGACCAATCACAGCGCGCCTGATTCTCCCTCACCGGGACAAAACTACTCCGCGTTCGTCCTCGTCGTCTGTCCTGCTGTCCTCGTCGTCCTCCTTCCCTTCTACGCAGACGACAAAAGATGCAGGCGCTCATCACCCCCCGTGCTGCTGCCGCTGCAAGGAACGTCCGTGCAGCGAGGAGCATCGTCCTCGCCGCTCGTTTCAACACTGGTAAGTTCACATCCAAACAACAACGAACAGTCGACATCTAATGCTGTTGTATAGCCCGCCCCTCCTACACACAGTCGACGCAACCCAAGCAGGCAGAGGCAGGTGCATTCACCTACAAGCCCGGTGGACGTGTGTCACTCTCCTTCTCCTGTCCCCTCTGAGCTAACACCCGCGCAGCCATCATCCGTGGCACGGTAAACGACGCTGTTCCCTATCCTCACCCCTCGCGCTCGCATGGCTCCTACCACTGGTCGTTCGAGCGCCTCCTCTGCGCAGCGCTCATCCCCTTGACCGGGGCGACCTTCGTAGTGAGCGGAACAGCGCACCCGATCCTGGACGGCCTCCTCGCTGTGTCTATCATCGTCCACAGCCATATCGGGTTTGACGCATCGCTGGTGTGTGTTCTCCTGCACACTTACGAATATCAAGCTCACCTCATTCGCTCATGCAGACGGACTATCTCCACCCGCGCAAATTCCCTCTCATTGGTCCTCTGATGAAGTGGCTCGTCCGGGGGATGACAGCCGGCGCCCTTGTCGGTCTCTACCAATTCAACACGAACGATATCGGTGCGTTCCCTCTTCCATAATCGAACATACTCTCACGCTCTCGCGCTCTTTGCAGGCCTGACAGAATTTATCAAGCGCCTCTGGCATGCATGAGCACGCCTCCGTGGCGACGGGTAGGTTGTATCCTACGTGTATGCTGCAGTTCTGCAACTGGCACTCGTATTCCCTCGCTCTCTGTATTATGTCTGCCAAACAATGAGGAGAAATACGGATCCACTCTGGCGTGCCCATGTTTGTGCTGAACGGCGTCGGGGCTCCCCGTTCCGACCTCCCTCGCAACGTACTACCGTTGCACCACAGGCAATCCGTTCCCGGAGACTCGGGAATGGCCTGTGAGAAAGCAGCGAGTTCTCCCAGGCTTGTGCTCATTACCCTCCTTTTATCCAAGCATGTTGAGAGCGCGCAGTAGCTCTGACGAGAGCAAAGAGAGCACGTTCGCCAGCTGGCAGAACGGATAAACGACGAGGGTGAACTCCGAGGTGATCGGTCCTCATCGTCTGCTGTAAGAACGCAACAGAAGACGTTCCCACGTATTGGAACAAGGACGTCTTCCACTCTCTGTCTCTGACGACCAACACGCATCGAGTGACATTGGACAATGATATTAATCGTTTGCATCGAGGTCAATGCTCTGCTCAACTATGCTATTCGTTCTACGACGGCCCTGTCACCCTCCGGGCTTACATCACCCCACCATCGGCGAGGAGCAGATGGCCACTTAGGCTCTCACAGCATGGACTGCACGACCTCATGCCTCACATTCAATTATTAGCCTTTGTCCCTCAAGCCCGTTCCCCCCATCCCCATCTCCATCCTCGACGACGATGTCCTGGCTAGCCTGGCCCTTCAGTAAGGTCCTGCTCGCCGACTGCACCCCTTCCCCCGACGTCCAAGAACTGGAAATCATCGGCGCCGGTCTGTCGCGTACGGGTACCGTCTCCCTGTGCGTGCTTTCCTTTTCCCTCTGTGCATGGATTGATTGGTTTGCGGTTGTGTTTGGGGGGGTGTACAGGCACACGGCGCTCACTATCCTTGGCTTTGGGCCTTGTCATCATGGTGCCGTGCACTTCTTCTATCCGGAGCGGAGCGTAGCGTTTACCAAAGCGCTGAAAGGTGAGCTCCTCCCGTCTTCCGATACACATGAACCTAACCTCTCACAGGCGAACCAACCGACTACCGCGCCTTGATGCGAGGTTACAGATCCATAGTCGGCGCACCTCTATGCAGCCTCGTCCCCGAGCTCCTGTCCACTTTCCCCAAGGCCAAAGCCATCCTCACCCTGCGCGACACTCCCGAGCAATGGTGGACCTCAATGATGGCCACGGTTCCGCCGATGAGCTTCCCCCTGTATAGGTGGAGCGTGTATCCTATTCGGTACTTAGGCGTCTGGAACCAGCTGGTACGGACCATGCTTGAAGAACGGTGGGACCTGCTGTACGGCCGGGGTCGGCGTGTGGGGATCGAGAATTATACAAGGCACGAGGCGTACATCCGTGCGCTGGTGCCGGGAACCAGTTGCTGTTGTACAACGTCAGCCAGGGCTGGGAACCGTTGTGCACGTTCTTGGGCGTGCCGGTGCCGGAGATACCCTTCCCGAGGAGTAATGATACGAAGGTGATGCGACGGGAGATGAGGAGGGCAATGATTCTTGGCTGGGCTTGTTGGGCGAGCGGGGCGCTGGGGGTCGTGGGTATGGGGTGGTTGGTGTTCAGGTCGGGGGTGCTACGCGTGGTCCTTCGGACGGTACGCGCAGTGCGTGGACAGCTTGTCGTCGAGGTTGTTTGCTTATATCCCCTGTGGAATTGATGGGCATGACGATGTGCGGAGAACTGCACTCTTCCGTCATCCTATAACCCAATACGATTACTCAATAAATGATACAGTACATGAAGTGAACATACATCGACCCCAGTGAGCATACACAAGACTTAGCGCGCATACATCAAGCGCACCCGTCAACAGTGCGCATACATCGACCCTCCTCGTCCTCCTCACTCCTCATTCCACCTCTACCCCTGCCCCCCTCATTGCCGCCTCGAACCCCTCGGATCAACGGTGCTAAACCCCACTCTCAAGAGCCCCCACTTGGATCTGACGACCCAGCTCTGCCCGAGCGCGGAGGACACCCGCTGGAGGTGGAGGATGTCGTCTAGCGCCAGAGTGGGCGAGAAGAAGGGAAACATGTAGTGGTGGATCGTAAGTGTGCGAGCGGGGAGGGAGAGCGTGACGAACCGGTCGGAGTAGCCTTGCGTGTAGTCGACGGCGCCGGATGGGAGAGGATTGGAGTTCTTGGGGGGCTTGGGTGTGTGTGTGGGCTTGGACTTGGGTTTGGGTTTAGACTTGGGTTTGGACTCATCGTGCCCGTGTGTGTACTTAGAGTCATGCGCAATTTCGTGCTGGGAAACCACCGGCATGCTCTCAGGCACATGAGCGGTCCTGATCTCCTCCCTCGGAGACCAAGCAAACCCCTCCATAACCAGGGTGAACATCTCCGGTTCCGGCAGTACCGGGCGTTCTAAGTCGTCCCGCGCCCACGTCTCAGGTGGAGGGAGCTCATTCGTTTGATACGCGGGTTCGAGGAGGGCTTGCCAGGAGAAGGCGGTTGGAGAAGGGGAGAAGAGCTCGGGTGGGGGGAGGATGGGATCTGTTTCTGTGCGTGTCCATATTTCGGGTGAAGGGAGATAGTCCATGATGAGGATGTGTTTGATGGTAGAAGGTTACATACTGTTTGATTCTGACTTATAAACTCCTTAATAGCTTTGATTCGCCGAGGATGGCGGGTGAGAGGGCGGGGCGACACGGACGGAGCACGAAGCGCCCGCGATGGGAGGAATTCCCTTTTCAGGGGACAACGCGCAGCAAGTACACTGTTTTCTTTTCTTCGATGCCAAGCAGTGCATTTCAATTTTTTTGGGATATTATGATTAACACAGGTAACAATAACAGAGGATTCTGCTTTCACTACATTATCCGTCCACGCTTCTCGGAATGTCCCCCTACACGTCGTGCACCAAATCATAAAGTCTGAGGTCGTCAGATGAAATAAAACAAAAGGGAGGTCGTGGTCCATTCATCGTCCATCATCCATCATCCATCGTGCGCTTAAACCTTCGCCGCAAACCTGCGCTCACGGTACCGTCCAAAGATGCCGCAGGAGCCAGTGCAGAAGCCCAGGAGGAGGGACGCAAACGCCGCGACCGTGAACCAGTTCGCGATCCCGTACTGGGCCGCACCGCCATGGTTGCGTATCTCGTCCATGGCAATACCGAACAGGACGAGGTCGACGATCATCGCTACGAGCGTGACGAGCCCCGCGAGGGAGGAAGCGATGGACATAAATATTGTTCCTGCGCGGGAGTAGGCGGCGCCACAGAGGCCGAAGAGGACTGCGAGCGCGGCGAGTCCGGCACCGATAGGGTGGAGAACGAGAACGTAGGTGAGGTTGTGGAATACGGTTTGGGAAAGTCGAGTGTTGGTTATTCCTGGTAGAGCATTGGGCCAGTAGTACCCGAGTTGGCGTGGGCTACCGGTGTACCCCCAACAGCCGAAGTCTACTTCTGCCCCTGCCCAGGAGGCGTTGAGGAATGTGACTTTACTCCATACCGGGACGGAGATCGAGGCCTGTAGAGAAATTAAGTTATGATGTAAGAATGTTTATGGGAGAAACGCACAAAAATAAGCAAGACCATTGCCGCGAAGCAAAAGAAGAGACCGGGAAGGGCAGGAGAGGCCATTGTGGATTAACTTGGAGTAGATTTGGATTAGTGGATTAGAGATTATACTCGTCGTCGTCTCGAGCTACGAACTAGGGGCGTTGAAGAGCAGGGGACGGTGAAGATGACCACACTCCATGTTACTGCCTTTAAACTGTCTGGCCGCAGTTCTTTGCCTGCTTTCATCAGAGCGGAACAAGTGCGGCACATGACATCATCCATCAGTTGGGGCGCTCCCGGGGGTCTTGTTAACCTGCTTCCGTCACTCTTTTCGGGCGCAGCACGTCACCGCTTTTGGGGTCTCAGGGACTTAGTGTGCGAGGACCGCGTGTTCGCAGAAGAAGACTGACGTTACTGACGTTTTTCCCTTTTCTTGCTTGTGCTCTTACTCCCAGCTGCTGTATTGTCTACTGACACAGAGAATCTCTATCAATTCAGATCCACAGAACTGAGGAGCAAGAGCGTCATACTTCCCAGACTGGGAAGTATGAAAAGGGGCGCCAAGATCAAACAGAGACATGCTGGAACCTCATGGAGCGGCAGTGCATTCCCACGCCCTGAGAGAGAGGACCGCCCTGATTGAGGCTTGGGCTGGGCGAACTCTACTGCGCACTACTGGCGAATTGCGATCCGGGTGTCTTCGCTTCTTGCAGGAGAAGTTGCAGAGGAATCCCGGACTGGGTGCGGTGTCGGGTCCGAGGACGAACATGAACATGAACACGGTTGAATGGGGCTTGTTGAATCTTGGGCTTACCACCGGACTTTTTACCGAACTCGGAAGCGAAGAAAGAATCATATAACGTAAGTACTAATCGGATCCGTTCAACATTTTCTTACATCAGCAGAAAAAAGAAAGAAACTTCATGAACGATCTCTCATCATGAGCCTGTCTGTTACTCCTCGCTGTTAAACACCCCGGCCTCTCTCATGATCCTTGCGAACGCCACAGGCTCCACAGTGCTAAACCCGACCCTGCACCATCCGCCTTTCCACTTGACGACCGACCCGGCCTCGATCGCCTCCCTTCTGCGTTTGCTCCAGAGCGCGCGTCTCCAGTCCCTTGCCCAGCCTATGCCTGAGCAGCTGGACAGTCCGCAGGGCTCGATGCCCATGCTGCTCACCGTCGAGGCCGGAACGAGGGAGATGATCTCCGAGAGCGGGATCGTGACCGAGCACATAGGGAGCAGGAAGTTGTACACCACCAGTGTGCCTTCGGGCACGGAGAGGCAGACGAATTGGTCCGCGTACCCGGACGTGTAGACCACTCCGGTGGAGGAGGGTGCGCGTTGGTAGCGCATCCCCCGCTTGGACACGGCAGTGGATGTGGAGAGCTGTGAGACCGACTCCGTCCCTATCGCTGTGGAGGAGGCGTGGTCGGAGAGGACGACGTCCTCGGAAGTCTTGGTCAAGCGCTGGAACATGATCGTGGCTGTGGCTGTTGGTTACGCTGCGGCGTGGCTGTCGAGACTGGATGCGGTGATATTCTGGTTGCTAGCAGGGGTTATGTACTTTCGTATTAGGGACATGGAGCGCGTCGTGGAAAGAGAGCAAAATACGCCTTGTACGCGAAATTGACTTTTCTGGGAAGAGTGCGCAGTGCACCGCTTTCCTTGCATATTGACAGAACGATACGAAAAGGAAAGTCAAAGTTGGTGTTTTGCTACCAAGGTGTCGGGGAAATAATGGTAAGGCGATGCGAGAATGATACAGTCGTTATCGTTATGTTCATGCGTCTCATTGCGCAGCGCGGGGCACCCAGCACAGGGCAATGCTTCAGTGAACGGAACATGGATGCTTCAAAGCTTCTCTACAACCGAACAGGTAAATAACAGAATGGTGATGCAAGAACGATACAGTTAACAATGATACAGCATTCCCTTCACAGCGCGCAGTCAATCCACGACCTCCGCACGGGCACCACTCGCCTCCAGCACCTCCCCCTCCTCCATCTTCCTGCCCATCAACCCGGGGCACGCTCCCTCAACAGCACCCACAAACTTCTCCTTATCCTCCACACTAAACCCTACGCGCATGACAGCCCCTCTATGGCGGAGAACGAAGCACTTCTCAAACTCCCGCTCCCTGTGCGTTAGAGTCAGGCGCTCCCAGTCTTGCGCCCAGCTCATACCCGTCCATCCGATGCCCCACGCTTTGTGATAAGGGAAATGGTGTAGTAAGGTGTAGCCGGCTAGGTGCTGTTTGGCAATATGCAGAATGCCAGTAGCAGATGTAGGAAGACGACGAGGGACTGCCGAGGAGTTGCCAAGGCTAGCTAGGGTCCCAGACAAGTCAGCGAGTACTTGGCGCTGACTACATCACCAGGTGCTGACTCAGAGGTAATGAGTCAGCAGTGGGTGGCCAAACAGAACCTCCCCAGGGCAGGTATGTATCCAGATGCGTAACCACCATGCTGAGGCTGCCCAGAAGGATAATATAGAGCCGGGGTATAAGTCTACCAACCCCGAGTTGCTCACGATGAGCAGCAGCAGACGGGCTGGGGTGGATGTCACCAATAGAGATTGGATGTACAGTCATACCCGAGATCTCGCATGGGCTCTGTCAACAACCAAGGCCATTTGAATTGGGGGGTAATGTGAGGTGAGGGGTCGGAGAGGGAGGGGATGGATTGGGGCGTCTAGCATGAGAGGAAGGATGTGATGGGGCTCAAGAAACTCGACACGAACATGGGTGACCAGTGAGCGGTCATAGACTCGGTGTGATGTTGCGTTGTCAACAAGGAGGAGGATGTGCCGGTCTCACTCTTTTGCCCAGTCATTGATGTCTTTCAGGTACTCGTTGAACAGCTCGCTGGTCATCCAAGCCTTCTGGTTCCAGTGATAATCAAAACCAAGCTGGGTACCGGAGCAGTTCTGAAGGCATCGAGGCATTTGGGCATGACCAAGGATGTATGGTGGCATCCGCTCTGTGCCATTGGCATTTGTGGTGAAGGGATAGGTGAGGCGAGTCTTCTCAGCCTTCAGTCCGGACATGGGTGAGTTGGCAAGGCCTCGGTCTGGTGGCATCTTGCCAAAGAGGCCTGCCTCGTCCATGTTGAAAATATTCTGCAACTCATACTGATCGGTGATCTTTCGGATACGAGTTCGGGCTGCTTCGACACTTGCTTGAGGCACTGATCCAGCTTCACCATGCCAATGAAACTCGCGCAGACCCATCCGTGCCTTGAAGGAATCAAGCCAGCCATTCGAGAGTGACAGAAAGTCCTCGGGCTTGATTCCATTTATCCGAGCAAACTTGCGTGCTTTGATTTGGATAATCTCACCAGAGAGTGCAATCTTCTTTGCCAGTGCCTGGGTAACCCAGCACTCTAGTGCAAGTTCAACCTTAGGAAACTCAACATTCCATGGTCGCTTGTACTGAAGATTTCCGGTGACCAGGGCAAGCTGGTGGAGATTGGCGGAATCCTTCAGGATGTGGGATACTGAGGACTGGGTGATTGACATGAACCCATGCTGGCAGAAGTGGGAAGCAACCTCGCTCTGAGAGAGGGTGGGATGTGCCTTAATGTGGTCGAGTATCGCAAGCTTTTGTGCAAGAGTCAAATGTTGGTGAGTGTGTGTGGTTCAAGTGGGGGGCATTTTCTGTCACAGATGATGATTTTCATATCACAAGGCTGGGGTGTGCTGTTATTGGTTGCATAGACCACAGTTTGATGGTGCAAAAAGACAGATTAGGAGTGCACAGACCACCCTCTGGCTGCCAGAAAATTCCCCCCAATCTCGCATTCAGTTATGAAACATGCTCCCACTTGGCAATGCATATGTCAAATCATGGGCATATTCATATCCCCTAAGTGACCACATAATGATGAGGTCTGTCATGCCCAGAACCCATGCAAGTTTGGGAGGAATGCAAGATCACTGGTATGCAACACGTCAGGTACAACTGCAGTTCTACAGCATGCATTTGGACCACATTTGGACCACATTTGCTTCTGCTCTGGTAGTCCCTGTCAGGGCACCAGCTCATTGCTTGGTCAAGAGACATGACTAAGCCTTTATGACATGGAAGTAGCTGGTATACCTTGGCATGTGCTGGAACCTGCTGGAAGGATTGGATGGTCAGGTGACCTGCTGTGCATGGCTGTGCATGACCTCATATGACCTGATCACCTGACTAGGCTGAGTAAGCAAGATGTTCTA